TGGCGCCATAGTTAAAAACCTAAATAATAGAATTGGTTTAGTATTAAAAGAGGTGCATGATGTGACTCTTACAATTAAAGCTTTTCAAGAAAAAGTAGAAGTTGCACCTGCTGTGGTTGAATATGAGATGTAGAAAATTTTTATTACAGGGGGAGGCATATTACTTCTTGTGTCATTGATGCAATTGTGGCAATTCTCTTGACGAAGAGGAATTAGTGGAAGTGGAACATTTTTGAATGATTGTTGTGACTATATGTTTGACTCTAAGCTTCATCATTATTTTGAAATAATGAGAGAAATTTTATACTCGCACGTGAATGTGATTTACAGTCAAACCTCTCTAAATTAATCCTCAATAAATTAATAACCTCTTTTAAATAATAAATTTTTCCGTCCCAACTCGGGACCTGAACAAAAAATCAACAAACTCGATTAATTTATTAAATAATAATTTTTCAAGAACCCCCTATATAAATATAGGTCCCCACAATTTCATAAATTAATAATTACTACCTAAATAGAAATTAAGAATTGAAGTAAAATATGACTCTATTGATCTATTTTTTTTCTTAAAATTTATATCAATGGAGATATCATCTTTGATCTTTCTCATTGCATTCAAATGCTCTGCCATCACTTTGTCATACTGCATCAAAAAATTGTGAAGAGTTGTTGATGCTTTTAGCATTTCCTTTCTTGATATTGGAACCAAAGGCATAGAGTCATCATCAGCTTCATCTTCAGTTGAATTTTCAGTGACACTAGCAACAATATCCTCCAAAGATTTTATCTCTGTAGATTCATCATTTTCACCTAGGATATCCAACAAGCAATTGACATCCATTTTATCTTGATAACCAAGATCATTGATATTTTTTCAAATTCATGAATTCCTTCTTCAGAAATAGTCTCATGTAAAGATGTTGCTTGTCCTTCATCTCTTGAACGGATGTTGCAGTGTCGAAAACAATTTGTTATTACCTATTGTTTAACATTTGTCGTCCAAGATGAGATTGCAAGATTGATGGCATCTAAGACATTAATTTTTTCTAGATTAGATTGCCCCAACTCATAACATTCAAGTAACTTACAGTAAAATCTCTTGCGGTAATGCAGCTTAAAATTTCTTATGATCCCAACATCACATGGTTGGATTTTTTATGTCATATTAGGTGGCAAAAAGAACAACTCCACATTATGTAACCCTTCAATATTTTTTGGATGGGTTGGACAATTATCTATCACCAACAATATTCGTCTACTCTGCATTCTTTGGTCCAACCAGCGAACATATTCCTCAAAAACCATACTCGTCTTCCATGCTCTTGTATTTGAACAATATTGACAATTTAAACTATCCATGTTAACATGCTTGAAGCGACGTGGTTTTGCATACTTTCCAATAATCCATAGTGGAATTTTTTCAGATCCATCCTCATTGCAACAAATTACAACGGTAAGTCTTTCTTTGTCTTGTTTTCTTCCTTCAAGTTGTTTTGTCGCAAGTGAATGATCAGCTTTTAACGTGTAAAATAAACCTGTTTCATCCATGTTGAAAATATCTTTCTGAGGAAATTAGTCTATTTTTTCTCTTAAGTACCCCAGTTGCTTCTCCAAATCTTCCATGTTGACTGAACCACTCTCTCCAAAACGATGAAATGACTTAATATTATGTCTTAACTTGAAGTTTTTAAGCAACCCATTGGAAAATTGATGCTCCGAAGCTTGTTGAGGGTGTAAAAGTTTTATCGTCTCTCTTGCTTTCTCCATAATCAACTTCCCAGTGATATTAACACAATTTTGGTATTGAAGAAACCACTCATATATAGCCTTCTCCATGTCTGAAAATTTTGGTGATTTTGCGTCGTTTGATATCCCCTTTTTTTTCAAAATCAGTTGTAATAAACTCAGATGATCTCTTTAGAGTGTTTGATATTGTGGCTTGACTAACTTTCAGATTATGATATGAAAGTCTTTGAGCCATTGCAATAAATTCTTTTGAGTGGATGTGGGATTATCTCTATGATATGTGCATAACTCTCTGCGTATTTGATATGTCATAGTTGATTTCCCAACACCTTTAAGATGGGATGCCATCGAGCAGTAAATTGTTATCTATATTCCCTGCACAAGATTGATTACTTCATATTTTAAGTCTTAACATATTTAAATTGGACAAAGGTGCGCATGGCCTAAGGATTCATATTTACAAAGATCAGTACATAAAAAACTACTAAATAAAAGTCATCCAAAGTGAATTTTTTAATTGAAAAAATTCACGTGAGAAATTTACCTGAAACGAGGAAGAATCAAAATGTGCAGCCACAAAGAAAACCCTAGTGTTAATAAAATTAGAAGTCCATAAAAGATAATATTTATAAGCCGGATTTTCTTTTCTTCTTGGAAAAGATTTACAATTTGTTTTCTAATAGGATTAAAAAATTCTTTAAATTAATAAATTATTAATTCGATAAATTAATAACTTGATAAATTAATAAATTTTAAGAGTCCCAAGTGTGTTAATTTAGAGAAGTTTTATTGTACTTTCAAATATTCTGACATTTTGTTAGTGAAACTTATTTGTGGTGTATTATCATTGTGTGAAGACTTTTTTTTTCTTACTAAGTTTGGTATCATCTTCAGGAAGAGAGAGAGAGAGACTATTTAAAGGGAAAAAAAATTTCATACCAATTCGATAAAAATATGTTTTGGATGTATCCAAATCCAGAATACAATGTTCACCTTTGCACTTTAACTAACAAAAAAAAAAGATTTTAAGAGCTAACTGCCGGCTAACCCTTCTGGTCTTAGCATTCTCTCTCCCTCTTGTCAGAGTATCAACCAATCGCACGTGTTTTTCACACCATGGGGAATTTTTTTTGTTTTGAAAAGCATAAGGAGGTTGTTATGTATTACCCCTTATTTTTTGGGTAACTAATCTCTTTTATTTTTTGAAAATATATCAAATGAAATATTCTGAAAAAATAACATTAACCTCTGTTTAATATATCTAGACTTAGTTTTGGATTATATTCATAATATAATTATTTGGTACTTAACCTCTTTTTCTTTTTTGGTACCTAATCTCTTTTTATTTTTGGAAAATATATCAATGCAATCTTCTAATAATTAATATTAACACACGTTTAATGTATCGGGACTTGGTTTGAATTGTATTCGTAATATATATATACAATTTTGGTAACTAATCTCCTTTTATTTTTGGTAAATATAGCAAATGTAATCATCTGAAAAATATTATTGACATTTAATTTATCTAGACTTGGTTTCAATCCGTGATATAATTAGTAATTTAATAATTGTAATTTCATTGTGTCATATATTTGCTATTTATTTATATTAATTATGGTTTGATAATATACATAAATAATAACATGTTATTTAATTTTTTGAAATTAACTTTCGGTTAATTTTTATATATCTCTTTTCTTATAATATATAGATTTTATTCTATCCGACCCAAATTAATTATTCAATATGAATTTTTTTAACTATTTTTCATAAAAATAACAATAAAGAGTTGCATATAAGATCAAACCCTTTTAGAAGCAAATTTCGAGATACTTTTCTGGAGTCTCATCTCCTTAATTTGTTTTTGTTAAAAGAATCTCATTTCTTTTCAATCATTGAAATTTTTCTTTCAGAAAAAAATAAAATTGAATTCTTAAAAATATGTATAAAGATAAGATCGGAAGCTCTTCAATATAAGGAAACGCTTCCGAATAATTAAAAGCGAAAACTAACATTCAAATAGTTGAAATATCAATATAAATCACGTGTTTTTGTCATCAAATTTATATTCTCTCTATCGTATTCTAATTGTGGTGTGCTTCGTTATATCGTGAATGACAAAAAAGATATACATATTTTTTGTCATCAATTGAATATAAACGAGATGGAGGACCGCGACTTTTAGAGGACAAGTAAAGAAAGTAAAACGAATGTATAGAAATCATTTAATGTTAACTAGGTTTTGGACCCGTGCATTCGCACAAGTTTGACATTGAAATTTTATATAATCAATTTTAAAAAGATTTTAATAAAGATTAGCTGGATACATGTTCAAAGTAGTTGAACCATGAATGCAGTCTCTATTTTTTTTTCTTAAGATTAGTAAACAACCTAAAAATATTTTTATAATAAATATATTTCATTTATTGTCAAATAGTTTTCAGTTTTCCTATAACTTTTTTCCCGAAACTACCATCGTGTTCATTAACTTGACACTGTCAGTAGAAAAACCCTTACACAATGTAGACTACATCATGATTATTTACTAATTTAATTAATGACCGTCTAAACTGCCAAATGAACATATTGGTGTATAATTTCACTATGGCCTTCATTATAATTGCCATCATTTTGATGATGAAAAGGCACTAGAGAAAACTGGCTTCGAATTTTTTAATATTTTTTATTTTTTTTTTTCCTGCAATTAGATGTACACTTGGATGAAAATTAGAGCATGTTTTATTTTTTTATTTTTGACAATGACAAACTACCCTTATGAGTTCTATATTATGTTATGTAAAACTGCCATTCGGATTTTTTTTTATTTTTTAATTTTTTTGTGTTTTTTTTTAGAAAAATTGGGAGAGAAGACTTTTAAGGAAATAATGACACTTGGATTTTTATGAGAAAAATGGTTTTTGTTATAATGAGGGTTATAGATTTTACTACAAAATGATGAATTCCCAGTTTAAAAAATAGGGGAATATCTGCCATAAAATATATACTAGTGATAGTATACAACAGTGGAGGATTTGTATTCATCTATAGTCAAATGTTTGGTATTTTACATGAGGGATTCACAGGTTGGCCTATACTTACAATATCTGTATAAAATCCCTCCATCATCAAAATCTTGGTTAGAGATTTTCATCAAAACTTGTGTCAAAGCACCTCGATTGCAGCACATTGCAGTAAGATTCGACGGAGATTTCACACATTGTCACATTGTGGCAGATGTTGTGTACCTCTTAAGGCTTAGCAGCAAAATGATTGAAGATTGTTTCGAGTGTTGATTGGCCGATACTGTACTCCGAGATCCCCAGTGAACTCCTGCATAATATTGCAGTAAAAATGATGAATACCAATTTGCAAATGTAACGAAGGTTGGTTTGGTTTGATCGAAGAGTTGAGCTGTTGTTTACCTGTTGCGTTCTATGTGACCGAAGGCATCAGCAAGTGAGAGGCCTTCTCCATAAGGAAGCTGCAATAGTTTTAAGATCTCAATCAAATGCTTATCAAAGGTCCAAATGCGGTGGCAAGTTATAACGATTACTGTGAGCTTTGCATGACAAATAAGTTTCTTGTTTTGACAAATTTAGAGTAACTGAAAAAAAGATCCTTAATTTCAAGACTATTCCTTTGAAAGAAAGGTACACATTGTGTACAGAGAGGCTAGTTTAACCCTACAAAAGTCGGCACGCTTGTCAGCAACAAAGGCTGGAATCTCAATCCGAGTTGGCTCATTATCATGGGTTGAGGAACGAAAACGAAACTTAGCGTAGGCAAAAGTTTTCACACAGCAGTTACCTGATATTTTGCACTCAATCCATTGCAACCCTGGAACGTCGCACCAGGGAATGAGGACTGAATGAAAGAATCAATGGTGGAGAACTTTTCCATGGTTAACCACCACTCTGAAAATACTGGTAGTGGAATACCACCTGTAGGCAGAAATATCAAACCCTTCCCATTTAGTGGAAAAAGACAATCAAGCTATCACAAATAAAAAGTTGCTTAATCCAATTTCAATGAAAATATTGAAAGTAACAATTTGGAAAAAAAGAGAAGTAAAGAACAATAATACCAAATTCCTCAGGAGATCAGAACACACAAGGAAAGAAAGAGAAGCATAACTTTGCGAAAGAAAAAGCAACAATGTTACAAGGTGTAACGAAGATTTAATCTGTTTGAAAGAAATGAAACCACCCGTTCGGCCCTTCGACAAGAAATATCAATTTCTAAACACAATGGTATCAAATTTCTAGTGAAATAAAGTAAAGACACAAAGAGTTTGCACACATGCCAAGGAATAAATCATCCATATTGAGATAAATGTGAAATTACCACAGTTATTACTAATAAAGAAAATGTAAAATACAGTAAAATATACTTCAAAATCGAACTATTCATAAAGCACAACCATAGCTATTCAAGGAATACGAAGTTAGGCATTCCAGGCAGGAGTTATCTTGCCGCAAATTAATTCACTCCCAACAAGGGTAAGAATGTGCGATGTAAAAGAAGTATTAATGGTACAAGTAATGTCTGCGCAATGAAAGCAATGTTCCATTGTTTGAAATGAACAACAAAGAGGGACTTTTGTGTTTCCACATAAAACCACATTGATTTCATTAAGAAAGCAGGCAGAACTTGGTTAAAATTTATCAACTGTAAATCCAATGCTCGATTTATTGAGTAGACTACGCATAATGACCTACCAGGGAAGGGACTTACTGCCATTTAATAGAAAGGAACATACAATATCTAATATATCGCCATGGACATTAAGTTAATGAAATTACTATATACTAAATAGACATACCATCACGGACCAACTGTTCGCATAGCTGCTCGCCAATAGCCCCCGGATAAGAAGTGTTTGCAGTTGCAGATACAAGCCCTTGTACTCTACCTTCATTTCCAAGCCATCGTCCGATTGCTAGAATGATTTCCTCAGACAAGCTAATCTCTGCCATTGATGAGTTTTCTGATGCTATGGAGTCCACTCCTCCAATGCAAACCTCAAGTTCGCTGAGCAGACTTCTGCGATGAGAAGGGATATCAAAGAGCTTTTCATGTATCGTTCGGCAAAGATTTTCCATGTCCATCGCACTTACTTCTGTTGGCTTGACCTGTGAGTGAAACCAAACATATTTAGCTAAGAGCTAAGGGAATAAGCAGAATTAACAGAGCCAGGTACCTCCAGCTCGAGGTGATTGCCAAATCGAGTTTTCAGGTGCTGGGGACTTCCGATGCACTGAAGTTTGCCTCCAACCTTGAAATCAGAATGTAAAAGAAATGACGGTGAGGAGTTTACTAAAAGAATCAAAGAACTGTTACAAATGCTATGAGAATTACCATAATTCCAATCCTTGTGCACAAAGCTTGTGCTTCATTCATGCTATGAGTAGTTAGAATGACGGCTGTTTTTCCTCGTCTAGTTGATAATCGGGAGATAACCTCCCACATGAACCGCTTGGCTAGTGGATCCATACCTAAATAACAGGAAATTAATGCATGTAAGAAGTGAATTTTCGGAGCTGCTTTCCTTTTTCGTGTATAGTTTTTTTTGGAACTATTTTTTTTTAAGAACAAGTCTTTTGGAATTCGGAATTCTATAAAGGCTGAAAGGAATATAAAATAATATGAAGGCGATATCTTACCAGTTGATGGCTCATCAAGAATAACAATAGGAGGATCCCCAACCATAGCAATGGCAACTGATAGCTTACGCTTGTTTCCCCCACTCAACGCAAATGATGGCTTAATGGCGTGCTTCAACAAATCAAATTCTACTAGTTTTTCTTGAACAACCTGTTCAAAAGTCTTATCAGCACTGACAACTGACTCAATGACTATTAATATTCAGATAAAAGGTTTCAAATACTACGTCGGTCTATTTTAAGGAAGGGGGTTAACCAGAAAATCAATTTCAGAAAGGCCCATATGAAGAAAGTATGTAATTCTTTATGGCTTTATGGTTACTGCTGAAAAATGTAACCGACAAATCGAGTTTCTTTTGTTAGTAGTGCACCTTTGAAAAATTAATCGTACCTCGGTTGAAAATATAAGTGTATATGAAGACAGACAAAATAAGGAAGCCTGATTTGTTAGCGACAAGATCAAATGTTAAAGTTAAATAGCTTAGCAATTAACAGTATTAATGAGTTAATTAGCAAAATGTCCTGAGTTTTTATATTCTCCTATGAAGTAAGAATTGGCGGTATATTCTGGCACATCTCAGGAAAACCAGAATGCATGAGTGTATGTCTTGTATAAGACTTTGGAAAATCGGCAATACCAGGTATGACATTAGTCACATAAAAGTTCAAAAACAAGGATGAAATACCGTATCAATATCACTTTCTGAAACTCCTTTGATTCTAGCAAAGAGCTCAAGATGCTCCTGGACTGTGAGAAACTCCAGTAGAGCATCAAATTGAGGACAGTAACCAATCTAAAGAATCAAGAAACAAAAGTTAGATGGTCAATCAAGAAATTACAATTAGTGAAGGAATTTAAGTTACTCAAGACTTACGCGCTGTCGAGCAGCCTTAGGGTTTGATCTTATATCTTTGCCAAATATAAATGCCGTCCCACTGGTTGGATATTCTTCCCCTGCATCGACAATCCATCCAGTTGAGGTAAAATTCAATAATTCCAAACAAAAATCAAAATTCCAGCCTCCTCCTAAGAAGAGAAGGAAAAATAAATGCTGGAGGACATAAGAATTAACATCGAGATACCAAAATGTTGATGAAGACTGAAGTATGCTAATTTGTTAAAGTTTCATGAGGACTAAGGAGAACAGTCCTCTCTATGGTGATAAAAAGCATCTAAACTATACTTCTCAAAGAGTAAGCAGTCACAATAACAAAGACATGTTCATGCAAAAACACTTTAAGAAAAGCCACATATGCTGCTGATAGTTTCCTGCAACAGTAGTCTATACAAGTTAAAGCTGAATGCTTCAGCCAGACATTGACTTCTTTAATGATTATGTAGACACTCAAATGGAATTTTAAATATGAAGTTAACAATTACACTAACAGCTCATGAAATGCAAAGATATTGATTGATCTGCATACAACTGGAACATAGGCAAAGGGTTTGCTTTGCACTGTAAACAGTCACATCTTGTGATGCTAGAAGGGGCTTAGCTTATCACACAACGGGCAGGCTGCACCATGTTGGAAGCCATACCATGTTGAAATGGGCTATCTACACTTCAATCCGAAAGTCTTTCCATGAGCAGGTAGTTAAGAAAGCCAAAACAGCAGGCAATTGCCACATTTAACCAAACCACAAGAGAAAGGGAAAAGAAAATGATTTGACCATATTTTTCTGCATCTGATGGCTGACGATGTGATATGCTAGCATCATGCAACAGTTTCCGTCACATTGAATGAGAGTTGAATGGTTGCACAATAAATAATTCATTTGGTCTTAAGACATTAAAACTTAAGGGGTATTTATTAGTATAACAGATTATGCTGAAAGTTGTACTAACCACAAAGCATAGAAAGTGTTGTGGTCTTTCCTGCTCCATTGGTTCCCAAAAAGCCAAAACATTCTCCTTCCTGAACCGCAAAAGTCAAGGAATGAACTGCAGTTTTTGGTACATGATGCTTTCCACTGGGATAAACCTGAAAATGGAAAGATTCTTCAAAAGGTTGAAATAATGAAATCAAAATATATTGTATGTTCTGAAGAAGAGGGGTACTGATAGTTTAAGGAGAAACAGGAAGAAGTAAATGGAACTGGTAATTCCTTTTTGGGTATGGTACAATGATCTGCATCCTAGGCTCCATTCTACTAATCATGCACTGTTAAACCGCCAAATAAAGGAAAGGATGAACAGAATATACCTTCCGCAGATTGCGCAGATAGATAATTGCATTATCAGTTGAACCTGAGAGTACCCTATTTCTCTCGGCTAGGACATCACTGTCTTCATCAAATTCAATAACATCTCCAAAAGCTGGCTCCAGAAGAGTTTGTGACAAACTATCAGAAGTTGGGCATGAAAGCTTGAATCTCATCCACTCATAAGCAGTTCGTAAAGTCATCTTATTTGGAGGCAAGATTTCAAGCACAAGTGTAAGTAGGAAATAAATGACAGCCTGTTAAAAATTAGACCAGTGTGTCAGCACCAAGAAAATTATTCAACTTTAAATGTTTCTTCATTCAAAAAAATTATAGCTTTATAAACTTATCGTAATTATTTTCATGCAACCGAAATTCCAAAACACAAGCCTCCGGCTGAAATCTTAACATTCAAACCCTATCATTAACTACGCTACATGAACAACACTGTAAGTACTCTCTAGAAACACCATTTTCACTTACAAAATAAAAAATAAAAAAGTGGAAAATCAGAGGTTCAACATTTAGAGACATCAAAGTGTTATATTATGCTTAAACACTATATCCAGACTAAACAGATTATGCTAGAAGCAAGGCTACAAACTATATAATTCTGGGGTAATTTAATGACAACCAGCCTACCTGGAAAATTATAAATTACTAGCTAGCTTCTGTATTTAACCAGGATATTGTTCTACACACCCAAAGAAAATGTAATCTATCTATGGTCCTATTAACACCTTCAACCCGTCATTAGATACAAAACAAAGTAAGCTAAACAAGACTGGCTAATGCAGCTGAGATAATGTGAAACCCGGTTTTCAAATTCATGGTTATGACATGCATGTGAAATTTTGAATGTCAGTCTGAAGATCATCATATGTTCAAAAATAAGGAGATTTTATTCATACTCACGAGCCTCTGAACCACAACTATCTTAAGTATCTACAGTAAAAATTGCTAGAAAACAAGTGAGCCAAGTTCATTAATATATGATATTTGCTTCCAGTATTACACCCATTTTTGGTTCCCTAAAAACAGGAAATACCATGTTTGAAGGAAATTTGTTTATGATAACAATCCAATCTGATAACTAAAATAAACAGGATCCTGAGAAGACCTATTAAAAGGACATGTAACCAATATCTAAAGTTATTAAAAAGTCCTCTGATATAAATCTTGGCAAGCCCTGATCCACATGGAAAAGCACAAAGTGAGATAAAGGTGTAATTTTCATTACAGTGATCCAAGATGAGAAGTGAAAATGAGGAGAAAGTTTTGCCACTTTGTCAATTCGACCCATGACTTCTTGCTTATAACAAAAACCCAACAAATGATAAAATTCCTTGGAATAATATATATACAGAAGAGTAGACAAAAATTATTTTTTGGTAGACACAAGATTGAGACAGAACCTCTGCAGCCAGATAACTTAAGGAAGCACCCGTAACATTCCAATCAAATGTTCTACCACCAGATCCATTCTTCATCCCTTGTCGTAAGAGAGCTAGTGAAGCTAGTCCATCAGCAAAACAAAATCCAGGTGATAACCTGAAGAATTTCTGAAGGAAATGAACACCACAGTTAGATGGTTACTAAGTATCATAAGCACTAATTTAAATCTCATGTTTTATTGAATTGGATATTCAGAAATTTAGATGAGGAAACAGTGGCATGCATGTCAAAGAGGAAATTCCTGCCAAAGCACAAATACAACTATGATAATCCCAATTCTTACAAAAGGGATTGTTGTTTCGATAGGGGTTGAAGCAAAACAAACCCTTCGATAGGTATACCGAATACATTGGATAACATGTTGATAAAAATCAAATTAACTGCTTTAAAAGGCCAATTCTTAAAACTTTGGATGTTGAAAACTTGGAAATGTAGTTAACCGAAAAATTGAAAAAACAAAAGAAAGAACTAGGACATGTGACATGCAAAAATAAATGAAAAATCAAGGAGAGAATTGGTATGCTGATAATATATTGTTGAATCAGATTACTGGCTTCTATTATGATTCCGAAAAAACCCAAGACTATCATCAATCTTGCACTTTCAAAAGATTAAAACTTCTAATATTAGGGGCCTGATCCAGTTTAAGGCACTAATAAGGAGAGGTACATTATTCTGATTCATGGACTCGAACCTTGAGAATAGAATTGGCATGTGCTGTAGACTTTATAAACCCCATTATGAAGGATAGTACCATGAGGATGAGCCCGCTGAAAAAATGGACCAAGAGGACCACATTCTGCATTTTACACCAATATTAGCATAGAAACTAAAGTCACTCCAAAATCTTGAAATATGACAAAGAAAACACCTGTGCCAGACTATGGTCAGCAAAGAAAAAAGTGAGGCAATAGGTTGACGATGCAACTGCCAGTCCATATTCCAATAACAAGAATGTTGTGGGGAGGAAGGAATCCCTTCCAATAAATTGATCAAGACCTACGAATGATTCAACTTGTTAGGAGAAGAAGCAAAATTTGACACTATTTAGTGCAGTAAAAAAAAATCAAATCTGTCGTCCTAGTAAGCAAATTAAAAAAATAATAATAATAATAATAATAATAATTATTAAAAGGAAGCCAGTCTGCTTCTGGAAGACTCAAAAAGTTTCAGGTTAAAAGAGGCTTAAGGTACGAGTCAGATAAACAACTACCAACCAAATATTTTAAATTTTTTTAATTTCACAATAAGGCATAGACAATATTGGATATAGCATTAATGCAGTGATCCAATAACCTTGGCCAGGTTTATGAATATCAATTGCAGTGATCCAATAAACTTGGAAGTTGTAGTATGCATTTTCCAGATCTATAATTATTTACCACATGAGACACCACTGTTGTCACCTCAAATTGACTAAATATGATGTCCAATGTGCCAAAGGTTGAAAGTGCCTACAGGTGTGTTTTTTTTTTTTTTCTCCTCTCTAAAGTTTCATGTGTTAATTTTTAGTCAAAACAATTTCAATGTCATTGATCATTTTAAGTAGTGATGCGAAACAGATTATTGGACCAATCATAAAGCAAATGAAAGAGTCCAGGTGACAGCAAATATTAGTACTTGGACGACCAACTGCAGGCAGTAAAGAGAATGAAGATAGACAGGCATTGACAGTGGATCATTTGCAGAAAAACACGATCTTAGCACGAAAATGATGAATGTGACAAAGAAAAACAGTGAGATAAGTATTGAAATATGAGTTATAAATTTGCAGAGATACAGTTCAGCTCCTTGGCCATTGGTGAAGTGAACCATGTAATGCCACAGAATTTGAAAACCCTGCTGTTTAGTTGGAGTATCTACAGCACAAGAAAGAAAGGGACTAAAAATCTGTTCTGGGTTGCTGCATTATTCTTTATCTTCATGTCATTCAGGTGGGAGGAAACACATGACTTCCAAAGGAGTTATTAAAGGCATATCCTTTACAAAGGATCATGGAAGTTCTTCAAATGATTGCTATAATTGCATATGTTTTTACTAAGAATTCATCAATGTTCTTCAAATGACTGCTATTTCTGCCAATTCTTTTAATCAAGCACAGAATAGTGGTTGAACCCTTTTGTTGCCTTCAATAACCTTGCTACTTCAAAAGAATATCTAAGCATTTTACATTAAGATACATAAAGCATCTTAGATGTTAACGTGTACTAACATGATGATTGATGGATGTTATTTATCTCTTCAAGGGTAGACAAAAACACAACTTAGAATTCCACATATCTCTAAGTATCAAAATCAATTCTCTATCAACTAGGACCAATTGAAGGAAGAGCATCAACAAAGTGTTTCCTTTATTTTTTGTTCTGTTTTACTAAGTGTTTCCTTCTTTAGTACAGGCTAACTGGTTCATGCCCAGATTTCTAAACTGACTGTGAACAAATGACTCTTCATCAGGAAGGGAAAAAAAAAATCACATGCAACTGAAAGAACCAAACAAATGATTAGGCAAGAAACTGCGAACTTCAAAGTGAATCAAGCAAGAATCCAGAGCAAAATCAAATAACGTACCGAATATCGAAAACAGTACGATGGCAATTGATGATGGAAATAAGAAGCTGATGAAATCCCAAAGATATGTTGAGACCCAATATGAGAGTATAGAAACCTAAGCATGTATCAAAAAGGTGCAGTATTAAAGTAAGAAATTGATGATACCCTATTAACCGTAAAATAGGAAAATAACTTAGAACGAAGGTGCAGTATTAAAGAAAGAAATTGATACCCCACTAATGAGTTGTTGATGCTTAGCTTTTACTTCATTTTCCTGCAAGAAAGAGAATAAATGTAAGAGATATGAAGTATTTCTTAAACTCGAAACAGAACGTCCCAATTTGGGGCAATCTAGGTATTCAAAGCAACCAATAACAAGAATCTTGGCAAACACTACTCGGGATTCCTTGATCATTTAAAACACTTCTTAGAATAATAGGGAACTGTCCAAAACATAGGAGGCTGAGAGCTCCAAATTTAAATCACTCTGCTAACCATCACGACACAAGGCCTTTGATAGTGCACCATATCTTCTTTTTCTAACAAAACAATTTATGTTCTCGGCGTTCAAATGAGATCTTCTCATATATCTGTTTTTAATAGTAAATATCTTCCTAAAAATGAAACAAATTATACACTTCTACAAAAGCAAGATACTAAAAGTGGAAGAACGAGGGTATTTGCCGTTAAAGGTTGCTCAACTAAAACTTTTTAGCACAACTACCAATTTCCATCAGTGATCTGTTCCAAACGATAGCAAGTAGAACTTACCTTCACTATAGCCACCGCGAATGATGCTGGAACAAACGAAAATGCTATATTCACAATAATAGCAGCGGAGAAAGCATCCAGATCCTACAACACAATAGAATTCCTGATGGCTATAACAAAAGGAAATTAAAATATAGGGAGATTTAGACTAGAAGATCAAAACCAAAAAGAGGGAATCTGGGTGCGTTAAGTACCAATAATTTTGTTCAACAAAAAAAAAAATCATTTAAAACATTTTGGAGAGTAAATGAAGAGAATCCTCTCAAACTACGGGGGAAGAAAGAGATTATCAGCTTATTTGTCCCACCCAAAATCCTGAACAACAGTCCAAAGGTTGGAATTCCCCGATAACCTGCTTAAACTTCATAACCCAGTAGCAGGAAGTTGATTTGCAAGATTTAAAATGATTGATTACCAAGAAAACTAAACCAACAGCCTAAGACAGGAAAATATAAAAAATACCAATTATTCAACAAAACATGAGAGGGTCGACCAAATGAAAACATGCTCACAATATTACTTTAGCTCTGTGAAGCTACTAGACTACTGAGACATGTTAGATACTAGGACTTTAAGCAGAACATACATGCCGTTGGAGGTGCTGGCTTTCTGTCAATGGAAGAGGATGATTACGCGTTTTTATTGTCATATTCTCATTCAGAGTAGCGAGCCTGAGTATCGCTGAGTTCACCAGATTGATATAGGTTGGCGCAGCATGCTGACAAGAGCTATTATGTAGAACAGTGTATCCTATTCTCCCTTGATCATCCTGATTATTCATTACAACTGCTCCATACCTGCATGGAACCCAGCCAAATTTGAAAGGAACAGCACTTTTAGGTTTCATCACGAAATAACAAATATTCATAAGCTTATTTATTTTTTTGGTTTCCAAATTCAAGAAGCTTAGTACTCTTACTAAGCTTTCAAATAAACCAAATCCTCCTTTGCAAATAAACTGTTTTACTCCAAGTTTACTCACTTCCAAGTAACTTATGGTGGCAGAATTGGAGATTTTTTTATAACATGTAAGTTGATGTTTTCATGAAAGGCACTCTACACATATATGTTCATTCTCTTTCTCAGCATATTTCGACAACTACAAAAAATTTTTTTTTTTTTTTTTTTATGTATCCAATATCTATTTCTGGTGTGAGTCAAAATAGGCAATTAGCTATTGCCGTCAACAGAGACCAAAACGGGAAAGATTAACACTACATTGGATTATTTTCCAAAACAAATTGAATGAATAGCTAATCCTCTTCAGTTCATTTCATTTTTTCTAAAAAGAAAAATTCTTTTCCTAACAGATTCGCAGGTACTGAAAAATTCTAATTGAAGAGTCTAACATATATTTTTCCCCAAGCACCCAGTTCGAGCCCTTTGTGCTGGACAACTTAATCGGATTTGTAAAAATTGACACTGCCTTATTAGAGTGATTATACAAATTCATCAACTTGTCCGTGATATACTAAATGAACTCTGCATTTACAGGCCATCCAGGACCAGTTGTTGCAGGCAGCACGAATAAGCTTACAACTGGTTTAGAGCAGAAGAAAGGAACTACATAGACAAATTAATTATAGATTGATTTTATTGGGAGAATGTAAAGATAACTAAAGTGAAAATTGCTGAAAGTTTATGGTTCTCCAAAAAATTGGAAGCAAGGGGAAGGAGAATAAGGAGAAAAGGTTGGAAGAAAGTGGAAGAATGACAAAAAAATGACTTAGAACAATCAAACTGAAATATGCCAGATACAAGTCTTCTAAGATCAAGTAAAATCAAACTAGTAACAATATGCACTTTGACTAAGGAATATATGTAGTAAAATTACAAATACCCAGACTTCTAAATAGATATTGCCAATTCGTGAAAGAGATATTGCAGTATATTCCATGTTCCAGGAAAATGAGGAAATCAATCACTGATATTATAAGCATCAAATAAGATAGGCAGCCAAAGAAGTGATAAACATCAGAATTAAAGAGATTCACAATGATCAAAGAGGTCATCAATTGCTTAGAGGTGGTTAACAAAAACTTCACATACTCACCTTGACTCGTAAGATTCATTGAAGCTAGACATTAAATATTCACTCATTTCCAGTATCTTTGGGCCCAAAGTGGGCCCTGCAGCTTTTATAGCATCATTCAGCGCCTCATCTGGATCAGGGAACTTGTACTGACTCTTCCTAACCCTCTGAATCCAGCCGCCATGGAGATGCTCTGCAACCTGCAAAGCAACAGAAGAAAGATGCAGAACTTCATACACAGGTAGCAGCAGATGATGGACATGAGAGCTAACTATTTACAAACCTTTTGAGAAATTGGCCAAGACAGATCAAAAGGGATTGGGCCTCCACCACCTCCACCACTTAATAGAGGATTGAAGTAGGAAGTAGTGAATGTTATAGATTGCTGCTCCGGATGTGGCTTAAGATTCAGAAAGAGAAGACCAATGAATAAAAAGACAGCTGGAATCAACAACTGGAACACAAGGGTTTTCCTATCTCTCTGAGCTGATAAGGCTCTCTTAATGAGTAAGGCTTTCATATGCTTCCAAAAGGTTGACCTTGAAATCATTAAACAGCAGCAGCACTGCATGCCTAAGAACCTAAAAATACTGAAGACGGTCGCGAAAAAGAGGGTACATGACCTAATGATGATGGAAATCAAAATTCCAGCGACTCTGAAAAAGGTACGACATTTTTTGAAGCGGAATACATGCGGAGCATAGTTTTGACTAATATCAGAGGTATCACAATCAGGTGGAGCTGTAGCTTTTTCTTCTTCAAGGGATTCAGTTGCGTCAAAGTCCCCACCAGCCACTCTCAGGAATACTTCCTCCAAAGTTGTTACAGATATGCCATAACTCTCAATGCAAGCACAGTTATCATCCCCATTACCAACACCTTCCCCATTAGTGCTAGGACTTCTCATGTAATGTTCTATCTCTCGAAACATGTTCTCAAACAAAGGTGAGGATGAAAGTGGAAGCTTGAAGGAAATTTCAGTTCCAACCTGTAAGAAGAGAAGGAAAGCTATGCTAGTTAACTGAGCACATAAAATATCTCTCCATCACTAATTGCAAGCCTCGCGCATAAAATATGCAGCAGATTAATTTTCTATTCAACTCAGTCCTAATGAAGGCAAAGGAAGTTACTCGAAACAGGTGATTAAACAACAGCCATAGCATTAAAAATTGTGACAGTAAACATGTTTCATTTGTTTACCAAAAAAAAGAATTACCTCACTGACACATGTTGCAGATGGGATATGATGATGTACAATATCAGCAGCAACAGAAGCATATGGCGCAGTCTGAAAAGAAAGCGACAAATGAGGCTGATGTGAAGATAGCAAGCGCCTCTCCTAAAAATGAAGTGGCTATTATGAGAGTAATAATATTCAGAACTAGCCTGACTTACCTTCACCATTGTAAGAGTATAGCCAACCCCATACTGATGCTTCAAGAAAAGGGAACTGGAAAATGATGCAAAAACCAAGTTCAGATTTGACACAAAGTGGTTTCTGAAAAATAGAAAGTCCAATTGAAGTGCTGCTGCAAGAAGTTGCTATGACCTTTTGGACCCAAACAGTGAGACTATCGGTTTCCCCTCAATTTTTCTTGTCTCAAAGTAGAAGATTTTGACTTATTGAAAATGTATATAGATGAGGTTGTTCAATTACGATCTTACTTCCAACTTGTTTAATTAAAGATCATTGTGTTTATCAGACTGATAAGATGCAAAGACTGTCTTGACCATCTTTGACCTAATATAATAAATGTTTTTCCATGTTTGTCATCATACAAGTTGTTGAAATAAATAAAAGCCACTTCTTGTCATTTTAATAAAACATTAGAATCTCCAGTCAGTAGGAAAAAAAAAATCTCAAAACCTCGTCATCTCAAACTTTCTCAGGGTAGGCATGACATCACAAAAAAGGAAATTCAGGTAAATAGCCAAACAAAACAGATGATATCAAAGCAACAATCTTGCATCAGGAAGAGTCAAACTGTGTGGTGGACCATGGGCAAGTACCTTCCACAACATTTTAAGGAACCATTAGCCATGATAGCAATGCGATCTCCCAGAACATCAGCTTCATCCATGGAGTGTGTCGTCAACAGTATTATTCTTCCTTTCTTTATCTTCTTTATTAATTGCCACGTCAAACGCATTGAATACGGGTCCATACCACTCGTAGGCTCGTCAAGAATAATTACCTGTAGAAGTTATACCATCATCGTGGCATATTGTAGCAGAACAATTACTTGTACCATTATAGCAAATTGTAACAGAGAGAACAATAAAATAGATTGATTAGACACCTGTTCTCACCTTACTATTACCAATCAGTGCAATCCCAAGGGACAGTTTTCTCTTCATACCTCCAGAAAGAGCCCTGACAGTAGTACCAATTTTGTCTGCCAATCCCACCTGATAAAGTATTGGCAAAGTGTTCTATAAATCTTTTTCAGGAATTCATATAAAGATACTGCATCACAGCAAATGACTATCAAACGAAACTCCAGCTTTTACAGCAGTAGTTAACTAAGTTAGATTTACTATTCATGTAACCAGCAAAATCAGATCCTTGTAAACAAATGTTTCTCAACAAGAAAAAATAAAGAAAAGAAAAGAAAAGGTCAGTCTCATCCCAGAAATCACCATGAAAACAGTTCACAAAAATAATGTAATAAAGCAACATTCTCAAAGTTCACAACATTCTCAAAGTTCTCGAAAAAAGCATAAGCAAATATGTCCAAGTTGCATACTTTAAAGGTATTAGGCTAGTATGTCAGCTAATAAAGCAAAACACCTAATAACAAAAAGAAAGCATTTCGAGGGTGAGGCCCAAGGAAACCAACACCAGAAACATTATCTCATTGCATCACTGCATCATATATATACACTCATATGTGGAGATGGATTTTTCTTTCTTAATCAGTTGTTTTTTAGGCGGTATCCAGTTGTATAAGAATAAGAAGTTGTAGAGAGAAGTAATAAATAGTCCCACAATGAAACATACAGCTTGAAGAACATGTCATAAAAACCCATGGAAATTCCACACCAACCATGGTGGTACTTACTTCATCTATCATTTCATTCACAGTGCTATCAAGTGATTTTTCATCTACGCCCTTTATACTGGCAAATATTTCCAAATGCTCCTTCACCTGCAAAAAGCCTTTAGCCATGTCAATTGCAGCATGTAAGAATACAAAGACAGTTGTAATTATGCTAGAAACAGATACAGACCAATGAACAGCCACTCGGCAATCAATCCACACTATTATTCATCACTTATGACATAACTTCAAGATTCCCACTTCCCAAGTACTATATTCAGGCAGAGCCAACAGAGAGCAATGTCCATTATCAAAAGTATCAACGACTCAAAGCTAAGAGCACTGACACCTTTAGGCAAGCATCAAATTCGAAAATAACCTTATCTATTTCACAGATGCAAGCAATGAGTTTCCAGTTGTTACAAACTTTCAAATCCTAAGTCTTACTATCTATGAAACTTTATATGCCTGGGAATAACAACCAGAAGAGTTTCTGAATTGCGGATACAGAGCTCAAACACTTCATCAACCACCCAGATACTAAGCCTAAGCATATCAGAGATATGAAATCTATTACATTTTAAACAGATTGAGCAGTTAATTCTAAAAAGCCAAAGGAAAGAAACATAATAATAGGCTACCAGCCCAGACTCCATTATCTACCATCCAAGGGATTTAGGAAGTTCCACATCACGAAAGGAGTTAATGTAAGTCATCCCACACAATATAATATTTAAATATCAAAGCATTAACTTAAAAAACAACCCAGACAAAGAGGAGATTTACTAGGGCATTCTTTGGGTAACTATCACTAGATTTCTTCCTTAATGTTCACTAAACTCCCGTTGCTAATGAAGTTTCCAGCCATAGCGATATACCTTTGATTTCCTACCCACAGTTTTCAATTAAAATTAACAGAGGATAGTGCAGTTAGATAAAATAGTAGGCTAAAGAACACATTGTGGAAGAGATCCCAAGAAGGTTGCTTTTGTATCAGCTTGCTGCAACTTAAATAAAATGGAAATTAACAAAATTGAGGAAATAGATTCTCACAGTTAGCTCTGGAAAAAGAATGTCATATTGTGGACAGATGCCCAAAACCTTTCGAATCTCCTCCTGCAACATCAATAAGATTGAAGCATTAATAGCTACCAAAACCAAAAACTTTTTGATGTGACCCAATGATGATGACTCTCCGCTATAGCAAAATGAATTTGCCTTTACTACCATCAATAATCTATAAACAACAGTGTCCTTACATAATTTTGGAAAATGTTTCTCCTAGGGAGAAGCATCACAAGGAAATCAAAAAGAGATCTCCTCAAGCTAATAATCTACTGACAGATAAACAAGGAACCACAAAATAATAAATATGTTTGTATCCCTATGAGTTCCTTGCAATGCTTTTACCTTGAAGAAATATTTTGAATAACACTGTCCAGCAGAAAAGCTTCTCGTTAAAGTTGGAGGAAGGATACAAGACAAGGGCGAGATGAATGTCTCATTAAACATTAAATCTATTAATGATGCAAGCCTATTAAATCTATTAATGATGCAAGCCTTACATAGTTAATTTTTAATATTTTGCTTCAGAAACAGACAAGATGCATGGCATCTCGGTTCTCCTTTTAATATACTACATTGCTGTCGGGCATTACAAATGCAGCAAGTAACCAAGTCACTTGAATACTTCAAAGTTAATGTGTAGATTTGGGTAAGAAACTCACATACCATGTCAGTTAAGATGCTCTTTCCAAATACTAGAGCATCGCCAGAAGTAGGAGGAAGGAGACCAACAAGCATTGATATTGTTGTGCTCTTCCCAGCGCCATTATGTCCTTCAAAATTCGAAAGAAAAAACCACGAGGAACCACATGTTGATTTAAAACAGATGAAGTAAAAATGAAAAAGTGGAGGAAGACCCAAACCCTAACAATATGGAGAAGCAAAAAATTTGATGGGACAGGGATCAAAATGTCCCTAATAAAGGGCAACTAAACTTACTCCACATTCCTTAAGTGTTTCTATTCCCTGTACGATACGAAAATTCAGACAACCTAAATGACAAGTATATCTTTTATTCAAAAAAAAATGACAAGTACATCCATGAGAATAGAAAATCACTACATGATAATCTAATCTTCATATGAATGATATTTCATATCTCCAAGCACTTTTTACAATGTGCATTATGAATTCATATTAAAAACGCCGCCAATGTTGACAATAAGTTGCAAGAGATGGAGGAAAATACCAAGAAGAGCAAGAATCTGATTCTCATACAGATTGAGCTGCAAAGAGTTAACAGCACAGCAGGACCCTTTCTTCGTAGAAAACACTTTGTGCAGATTCCTAAGCTGAATGCATCTGCAAAAACAAAAACCAAAGGTCATGTATATCGTAAGTAATGAGTTAGGTTGAACTTAGAAAATTTACCTCTCATCAATCTCTTGTTGTTTCATCTCTAAACTGATTGCTTCAATGGCTGAATTAAGTACACTTTTTCCAAGTAGACTGCGATTTTCTTCGGGGTATTCCTCATTTGACATCTCTGATGTGTAAGAAGGATCCTTGGAGTATCTCTTCCTCAAAAAGCTCGGAAAAATAAAATTCCAAGGGTAACGCATACCACTCTCCTTTGGAAGGACCTGATCACATTAACAATCACCCATTAATAATGCGTGTGTGTGTGTCTGCGTAGGCGTGGTTGTGGGTGTGGGTATGGGTGCGGGTCTCGACGTGGGTGTGGGTGGGTGTGGGCGTGTGGGAGTTCATCCAGTTACATTGTCATCAACAAATGGAAATTACAGAATGCCCCAAAACCATAGACATTCATTAAAGGCAATTCTAAATATTTACGTGCATAAACCACTAGTAAAATGAATTATGATAGACACAGTTTGAGCAAATACCTTATCGAGGTAAAGACCAATTGCACAGTACAATAATGTGTCGAAAAAAATCATCAGGAGGCAAACCAAAAACGAAACTCCAGATGACTCCTGACAAACCAATAACAACATAAGAAGCATGAAATAAATGCCTGAAGAACGAAACAGCAGAAAAGATCATACCCTCCAGATATTGCTCCAACGGAGTCCAACATGAGCACGTTCATAGTCAGCAAAGTTTACAGATCCCAAAGCAAAGGCTGTTGGTGACAAAAATGAAGCGATAACCTTCAATGCCCTGCAAGTATATTCAAGAAATGAATACTTTGCTAGTTGGAAAGGAAAAACAGTTATTTGACCAAGGAGCAAGACTAACATAGATACAGCTTCATCATTGACAGTATAGTAGGGGAAGAAGGCCCCAAGGAAAGAAAGAGTCCCAACTGCCACAGCTGTTTTAGCCCGTGAGAAGAAAGTTGAGATTAGGAAGGACAGCATTATTGAACTGAGACCAAAAGCGAAGAAGTAGACGAACACCAGGGACTTGTCACTGTACTTGAAAAGACTATTCATTGTGCAAAGAGTAATGATCGCGGAAGAAATTGCAAACTGCAAGACAACCAACAGGAAATTATGCAACAGAAAGCTCTCAGAAAATGAGAAGGCATTTCAAGAATGTCCTCCCATCAAAGCTACAGATAGTAAAGTCAGGAAATGATAGAGCAACCAGGTAAACCTCCTAACACGTAATTATTTGCTTGTTGGAAAAAACCACAGTGAAAAGAGACAAAGGCCAGAGATCATGCATACTCCTCCAATTATTGATAGATGGTGTTTTCTAGTTTCAAAAGTAGGACTCACAAACAAGTTTACTACCCCTTACATAATAATATCCATCATGCACCATGCAATTCAGATTAAACAGGGTGCAGCAATGCACCGTGATACAATTGATCTCAGAGGGAAAAACATGCTCGCCACAGATAATATGATGAAGATCGTTAATATAATCTTGAGGAAAAGAATAGGAATTGATTAAAGAGAAGTCCGTGCTGTGTTTCACTAATTAAAAGTTTTCTAATACAGCGACAATTAAAACTATGATTTCCATCAATTACCACAAAACTCTTTCAATAAGCATAACAGAAATATCCATTCTTCCTTTAATGTGTATTATCAAAAATACGCCGAGATAAGTATGAGACATGCTAGAGAAGATGGAACAAGTAATTAAATGGTTAGAAAGAAAATCGAGGGAAGCTTATAAGTGAGAAATTGATAATTTTAATGAAAAGAACACATATTACACTCTTTCAGAACTACATGAAGCTGAACATAAAACAATTCTTATTTCTAGAGAATCAAATGTAGCCCAGTGGTTAGGATAGAGGGCTCTCTCGGGGTAAACCCAGTTCAATTCTTATGGGGGGGAGGGGGGTTTCTCACATTTTGATACAAGAACAATACAAGACTACTCATGCCTTTTATAGTTTTATCTGCTTAAAATTGTCTTTAGTCTACCACATACATTACCATCCATACTTCTACTTCAAAAGGTTTTAATGCGGCCTCTTTCCTTTCTTGCTTGAAGATCTACTAACAACATAGCAGCAATTCAAGGCTCCTACAATTTACTTAAAAAATTATAAATTTTCTTATTCTGCAAGAAAGGAACTTCTCACGTTCCAATTTTGTCCGGAAAGCAGACAGCTATTATCAAGCATTTGTGACCTTGTAACCCCATCTTTATTTCTTTATTCCTCATTCAGGAACCATTGCTTCCCATTTTTCCAAGACAAGAGGTCAACAGACTCAAGCAATTCAGAATTATTATGCAGAAAGGAGAAGAAGGTTTCTAAGGACTTACATGACAACCAAAGGTTGCACTCCATGTAAATGATCATCTCATATTCAATGTAAAAGTGTAACTACTTCAAATTTTCATAAAACATTTCAAAAAGGAAACAAAGAAAACACTGGTTCCCATGGTTTAGAAGACAAGAGGTCAACAGACTCAAGCAATTCAGAATTATAATGCAGAAAGAACAAGAAAGGTTTTCTAAGTGGACTGAAATGAAAACCAGAGGTTGCACTCGATGTAAATGATGATCTCACATTCAATTTAAAAGCGTAACCACTTCAAATTTTCACACAACATTCAAAAAGGAAACAAAGAATTTAGTAAGTGAAACATTCTCAAATTGAAAACAAGAGATAATAACTGAGGCATGGAAAGACGATACAGAAAACAAAGTTTAGCTTGTACCTGCAATGCATATGTTATAAACCAAGAGAGATAGAAAATCTCATCTTTCAATCCCATCATGTAGAGACCTTCTTTTATTTTGTTTTCCTGAAGCATCAGCATTTGATATTAACTTCATGACAAATATATGAAAATCAACAAGACTAATTTTTCATCTTCAATAATCATGCAGTTCAGAAGAATTTCAGTCTCTGTGAGAGGTAAAGTACAGAAGATTTTGAGAGACCTTTTCAAAGACGGAGTAGCTAATCAAACGAGATATTGGATAGAGAAATCCTAGCAAGTACCTGATCAGGAAAAGAGTGAAATTGAGTTTTCAAGAAAAATGTATAAGAAGCCTAAAAGAAATGAATAGAGAATCAAATAAATGAGCTAGATTGGGTAAGAGGTTTGAAAATACATACAGAACTCCCATTACTTTCTTGATTATGGATTGAAACTCGTCATCAATATATTCACGAGTTGGAAATGGAACAATGCTTATGTTTGTAGGACTAAACTGTGTCCAAGGTACAGTAAGACCAGATCTTAAGCTGGCAGACTGCTCTGGCACACCAAGATCTCCAATGGATGAGTTGGCCATACTCTGTTGAGAAACATATATAATGAAAGAATCCACAACTTGTTGGAGCTGCGAGAAAAAATAAAAAGGCAAAAATATGGTCAAATCTTCATTAAGTTGTACATCACAAACCAGAAAAAGAACTTTGGTAACTTCAAAATCAGGCAAGCGATGCAATTTTGAAAAATGAGCATTCTGCAACAACGTAAAGAAAAATGGTAAGTCATCAAATGGAAGTATACATAGTGACAGCAACTGTCAACATTTCTGAGCACACATCAGCCATTTCCCAAAAACTGAATGTAGGACACCCTAAAAAATAATGATCATTATATTGTTCAAATGTTGCTGAAGATGCAGAGAACGGTCAAGAACTTCCTAATCTCAAATATCCTAGAAAAATACTCTTGCAAAACTCTGGAGTTTGCAGCTACAAACTTACCAAGACATATGTATAACCAAATTTGCACGACCAACCCCTTCCCACCCCAAAAGCCAGCCTTACTTGGTTACATTACCAAATCATCTATATACAACAAACAGTTAGCTTTCATCAATTTTTAATTAAATCCAACCTCCAAGAAATGCAAATGTGCTTGACAAAAGTACAGTGATCACAGTGCAAAAGATCAACAGAGAAAGATAAAGCTCTGAAAAGGAGAAACAAAAGAAGAGCAGCTGTAAATTGTATAGTACTCTTTGCTTTCTCCAAAATTTGAATAGAACTCCCAAATGAATAAGAGAATGTAAAAAAGAAACAAGATTTTGACAAAAGTAACAGAAAGAAACCCAAAAACCTCTTCAATCTTCAACTACAAGTTATACTTCCAGTGCATCCAACTGATTAAAAGTCTTAGAATATAAAAATCCAAACACAATATTTTAAAAACACACAGCTTAAATTCAGGAATTAGTTCACAGATCGGTTTTGCATTTGTTTTTTCTATTGAGACAAGCAACAAAGTATATATGGCACTCTTAATTTGTTTCTAGATCCAACATTAACAACAGAAGAGTAAACGCAAAGTACCTTTTTCAAAAAAAAAAAACAATACATCAAATTTCAAGTTAACCAAAAAAAAAAAAAAAAAAAGATAACTGGAGCTCTTTGTACACAACATTATCATGCAGGATTACAGCTGAAAACCCGTCAACATTGATTATACTTAAGAGAAGGATGGTTGAGACATACTGTTAAAAATCCACTGAAGCCATATTGCATAATTGGGATTGGATTGACCCCCAATTGCAAGTCATTGAGATAAGGACCATTCACATCCATGATATTTTTAACATCAGGAAATCCTGAGAAAGCCCAAGTATGGTTCAACCTTATGCTGTAATCAAATATCTCAGGCCCCTGACTATGGAACACAATTGCGCCTTTGATTTTAGGATTTGTGAGGTTCCTACAATCACAGAAAATTCAAAAGTGAGAAACTTTTTAGAGACATGATAGACATATAAGAAGCATTTCAATTTTTCACCTCTAATCACTTGATAGGTGAATTAATCCAAATTGTTCATAACATGAACAAAGTTTCGTGTTGCTTTTACTAAAATCAGTAGCTTGCATCAAATTCAGCGAATAGCCCATCAGAAACGCCTAATTAAAATTAAATCAAGACAGATAACAAGATTTGATGAATCACAGAAAGTGGTGCATTTTAATAGCTAAGTCCACAAATGAAGTACACAGCTGCGCTTTATAGTTCGTTAGAATCCCAAAGGGAAAAGGATTCCCAGGAAAGACAAAAGGAAGAACAGAACTCTTCAAATGGCTTTGACGGAAATGAGGTGGAAACAAACATAATTAAATACAATACACACACAGCTGATTTTCAAGGTTTGGCATTCCAACATACAAAATAATTTGACAAACACTTTACTGTTTAACAAGCAAACAACCATCCCCCAAAGTTGTCTCTTGTTAAGCACCACAAAACAACTTCAGAAGCACATTATTCTATAACTCATGCCTCTTTTCCATAATCCCATGAAGGAAACTCATTGAACATTCAACATTAAATACCATAATAAAATCAATTATGAAGCCCTCAAGGAATGATTAACCTCCCAATAAGCGTTTTGAAATTAGGTGATGTTTGGAACAAAACAGAACAAGCCGAAACAAGAGACCTTTTTCTTGTGTTTGATATAGATAGCCAACTCCAAAAGACAGATTCCTAGATTCAACACAAACTGATTCATTTTATCTTTTTGATCCTAACAATAAATACAGCACACAAAAAAGGGCACGATGGAACCCCTCCATATAAATGGTAACTACGTTATTCCTTTGCAAATAAGAAAGCAAATCGAAACCAGGAACTCCACAATACAAACTTCCTTTACATGATTGCATAAATAAATTACTGTATTTTCTGATTTGAGAAATGAAGCCATTCTCCAATTCTTTGGCCACCAAAGTTTTGATAACAGGATATAATGAGCAGAATATAGCTTACTTTTCTCGGTCATAAGCACCATAGTATTGTGATCTGATATACGTGTTAAGCTCTTCCTCATCCTTGTAAACTCTTGAAACATTCTATTCAGGGGGCAAAAGATTCAATCAATTTTGGAACATATGAAAATGAAATCAATAAATCAAGGTAAATTATGTTCATTCGTAAGTAAATATTACAAAATGCGGAACTCTGCCAACTTCTATCAGTGTCGAATCTAGGAAAATCATCTATATGTTGTAACATAACTCAACAAATTTACAAACATTGCAGGATCAGCTTAAACTAAGTGCAGTCTGTTTGCATTCAAGAAAGGAGGGACTTTGTAATACTATCAGCAAGTATATTTTCAACCTAGCAACAACATGGGTATTGATCTCAATCTAAGAGATTTTTGTTTGCTAAATCAATCTAGACAGTTATGATTGTTAAATCAATCAATGCTTTCCACCATAATCTCATAAATATGTGCAGTAACAGATATAGAACGTAAATAATCTCAGCTTGGTTTCTGGCATTCTTACTTAGCAGAAAGGAGAAGCATAATCTGATTATCAATTCAGAAGAAAGATAAAATTGGCCAACAAAGGTACCTTCAGCAGAGGAATTTTTAGAGATAAAATGTTGATCATCATCCTTGTCTCACTTGTGTCAGGAGCAAAAGCTAGGTGCTCGCCTTTGGCCAACAGATATTCAAGAACTTGGTAAAAAGGCCGAGATATGTCACTTTTGCCCACTTGCACAAACACATCTGTTTGAATATTCCTACACACAATTTCATACTAGTATTAACTTTACAATCTAAAATCAAAAACAAGAATAAGAAGAGTCAGTCTCATACCCAGTACCTGAGATTAAATTTCGGTCACTTTTCTAAAATTAATTAAAACTCAAGAGCAGCAAGAGAAATACATGAGTAAAAAGTGATTATCAAGCATGGAAACCCTTTTCCATACAGTATTTTATTGATAATCAATAGTTCTTTTCCCTTCCCATCTAAAAAGTAAGAGTGACAATACTTACATTTCCTGTTCCATAATGACAATACAGAAGGCAGAACCAGGGAAAACCCAAAAGGATTAAAAGAGAAAAAGAAAGCATGACATACATGATGATCATCAAATACTTAAAAAGCACATACGTAATTCATCCCCATGGAAATGAAATTAAATTTTGGAACTTAAGGTCACGAGAAACAGTAATCTACAGGAAATCTAACTACAAATTCATATGGAAGTTGAACTCACAGTCAATAGTTTCTTGATATCAGAGAGAGAGAGAGAGAGAGAGAGAGAGGCAGGGAGGGAGGGAGGGGCGGAGGGACGGAGGTTGGGACGGAGGGAGAGAGAGAGAGAGAATTAGAAAACATAGAATAACGCTGGAAGTAGCCTAACTTATGCTGAATATGAGAACTGTGGGTTCGATATTAGGAAATCCAGTAGCTGCTGTATATCAGAAGGTGAGAGATCAAAGCTTTATAAAACCAAAAAGAAATATATAGTTTTTCTCACGCAGTAACAATCATTTCGGCATATTAGCAATTGCCCCACGAAACTTAAGAGAGTAAAGCAGCAATTTTCAGGATCTAACTAGCCTACCTATAGGGATCACATATCAAATTTAAGGCGACTTTCATTTCAAAATTTGAGGTCATATTCTTATTGTTTTTCAAGATGCAAATCTACAAATGCACATGTGAATCATCAGAAGTAAATGTACATTATTGTTACAGATAAGATAGTAGAACCATACGGCTGATCTGGATGTATTTGCAAATCAGTTCGAGACCTCACAGCTATCAGCAATAGCATCACTATAGTAGGAAGCAGAATCTGGAAACAGAAAGGTCAAAAATATAATTTGTTAGCTTCATTCACTCCATAATAATGCATACTGCACATAACTCCAAACTCACAATCATGCACAAGAGCATCTTAGAGTCCAACCTTCTCAAACAAGATAAAAGATAGAGATACATTCAAACTTCATTTTAAGTTTATGGGGTCCTACTTCCCTCCTCCCAAACCAGACACAAAAATACAGAGATCAATAACATGACCATAAGTGCAACTCAAGACGAGATACCAACATCACTTGTAAAAGAAACAAAACTCAACTTCTTTCTGTTAGCAAAACAATGTAACATTCCACATGTGATTATCAGAACTACACAAGCGTCACCTTTGCATCATCACAATAGAAAACACAAAATACAAAGAAGTTGAAGTCACTAACAATACTTTTGAAACCCGAATTCCCTTAAAACCCATCATAACCAAAACCATAGAATGAATATCAACTACTTTGGGTTCATGATTGATCCAATCCCCTGGCTAATCAAATTCCAATATCATCTGTCGTCATTTTCTCAAAAAAAAATAAAATCTTTAAAGTGAGCTGAAATCAAATTCAATGAACTCTTTCGAGTGATCAAGACTATAACAAATGGGCCGTAGCTGCTCCTAATTTATTTTCTTGAACCGAATAATTGGCAGGGAAAAAAAAAAGTGTTTTTCAAAGAGCTAACCTCCATTAGAGTAACAAAAGGGTGCCGAACTTTCAGAAGCCAATTCTTGCGAAGCATAGCCTTCAATTGTTTACTTGAAGTTCTCTTCATCTCTTCTTCCTTCCCTTTATTCCTTTCCTTCTGGCTAGTACTACTACTGCTACAGCTACTCTTCTTCTTGGGATAATTCTCCATTACCCCTTTATGTCCCATTTTTTATCAATTTGATCAAACTCCTCTTTCAGTCAGTCATTCAGAAACCACCTCAAACTCCCAATCATCAATCACGAATTGGAAAGAATTATTCAATTAGGAGTAAAAAAACTTCAAAACCGAAAATGGGTTTTGTTCAGCTGGCACAGTGGTGGAGAAAAATCAAACAAGAAATCAAAAGTATTTGGGTTGAATGAAGAAGAAGAACCAATTTTGAACGGTGGTTGCCAGTGTACTGAACGGTGGACTTTGTTGAATAAAAATCCAATTTTTTTATGAAAAAAAAAAATTGTTGGATTTTCCTTCAGTTGATCTGACAAGAACAAGATTAAACAACACAATTCCAATTGCCTAATTTTTAAATTGAAACGTTTTTCACTTTACTTCAAAGTTATTCATTTTTTTCTCATCCTTCGAGTTTGTGCAAGCTTTATAGTTACTCCCTTCCTTTTTAGTTCTTTGTTCTTAGGCTTTAATTAATTATATGATGATGTAGACTTTGACTTATTATTCCTTCCAACAACGTTTTCTTGAAAACAAAAGGTGACTTCAACATCGGTTTGAAGTACAATGGAACCTTCTTAGCTTCTCATACAATGTGATAAGAATTTTTGTTTATTTTTTTTGTTTTGGAATAAATTTGGAATCCAATGAAGGGTTGATAATTGGGAAGGGAAAGAAAAAAAAAAACAAATGATATTTCACTCTCTTTTGAAAAGTTTTCTTCTTTAAAATTCTGATTGCTTGGAAAAGAAAAATTCAAGCAAGAAATAAAAATGGTATATGCAAGAAATAAAACACAATTTTTTAGATGTTTCACATCGAAAGGTTCAGTCTAAATCAAAATAATTACCCGTCTTAGTACAATAATCAAAAAACAAAACTAACCAAAAAATAATAAATAACAATGAATGTTACTTAATACTTAATGTTATTCAATTAAAATATTTTCCATTTGGCAATGTTTGATAACAATATATATATATGTGGTAAATAATTTTAATAAAAGAGGTACTTAAGTTTTTGTATAAAATCTAAGTAGAAAAGTTAGCTTAACTTTGATATGGAAATTATTTAGTGGCATATATTTATGATTATGAGATGTCTAGAAGGAATATTCCATGGCATTTCGTGAAAATAAGAAAAACAAAGAGGACCAAACGTACAAAATTTGTCGAAATTGGATGGGGGGCGGGCGGGCAAATCACATCAAATCACTATCAAGCTTTCCTTAAATCTTTTTCAGTTGGCAATGTCACTGTCAGCATTTCCCAAAACACTTTGACGAAATTAAAGAAGATTTGTTTAGAATTATTATTATTATTGTTATTATGGTCGGTAAAAAGAAAAGAAATATTTTCAATGTTGAAATTAACGGTTTATACCCTTTTGGAGAGCTGATCCAATCAGTGTCCAAAATTCCAATTTTTTAAAATAAATAAATAAATTGGTGTAATCTCTTGTTTCCCCTTAATCAACTAGGCAATTGGGCAACTGCGCTGCTGCTTACTTTTGATATCTTTGTCTGCTATAGTTCAAAGTACAAACCGCCAACAATTTTTTAATATATAGTACTAAAATATATATATCATATTTTATATATATATTTCCGTCAAGATGATTTCGATCCGCCACGGCATCTTTGGGTTTGTGTCCATCATTTTGGTGTCCCACAATTACCACCCAGCCTAACCTCTCATCAAACATATTCGGACTTTCCAACAAAAAAAAAAGGTATAAAAATGAAGTTTTTTTCAAAAAAAAAAAAAAACAAAGAAACAAAAAACAAAAATTAGAGAAATTATGTTGTGCTCCAATAATTAGGCAGAATTAGAGAGACAAAAATTCAAGAAAATAATATTGAACTAAAAATGTATAACAAAATAGACTTTATTTTTATTTGAGACAGATAATATGGAAAACGTCTAAAAAATTAATAACGAAGATCAAAATAATAACCTTTATCATAATTGGACATATACCATTTAAATTAATTATATATCAAACAACTCAAGCTCAAATTAGTGTTCAGATTCACAAACTAATTATCAAACTTATCAAATATTAAGTCACCGATTGGTTTCAAATTTCAGACTTCATTGACCATTTCTATTTTCACACTCAACATAGAATTGATCCTAATGCACATTTGTCCGTCTCTTGCTTCCATCTTCATACTCAACCTAGGATTAAAAAACAAACTTACAAAGTTATTACGACACAAAATTGGCTCTACTTTGCTTCAAATGGGAAAAAAAGAGGGAAAACATGTTGTCTAACCTCCATAAGAACTTTCGCTTTCTTCTCCAATCTAAATCTTGGTGCAAGTTTCCTATAAGACAAACCAGAATCCTCCTCTTTTCTCTCATGGCCCTCTTTATTGTATTCTTCTTCATCATCAGTTCCAACTGAATTAATAATAAATCGTCACAGTCAAAACCATAGTTTCACTTTTATAATTTCAACTACCTCGTGGAAGATATGTTGTATCATCATTCCCACTTAAAATATACAAACATAAAGATAATAAAATACTACTCCCTCCGTACCAGAAAAATAGTCCACATTGAGTTTTGAATTTTGTACTGTTTTTAGTACAAATTTGAAAACTCAATGTGGACTATTTTTTTGGGGACGAAGGTAGTAGTTTAGTAACAAAACTAGCAGGTTTACCAGGATCATCATCATTGCCAAATTGAAGGCCGAGGTCTTCTATATCATCATATTCCTCTTCACCTTCAACATACTCTATTTCAACAGGCTCTGCCATTTCCGAAACAAGTTTCACGAATTTTTCGTAAGGATAGTTTATAACCTCATGATCCACATCTTTATAGATTTTTCCCTTGAGCCGTTTAAGTAATTCCTCATCAATGCTCTACAAAGAATCATTAAATGAGTGTTAGGCAACACTTGAGTTTATACTCAACGCTTGAAAGACAGTGAATTTACATATCACGACTTTTTTATACCGACCTTTTCCAAAACTGCTGCCTTTTCGGCCTTTTCTTCTCTTCTGGCCTCTCTTTTCCTCTGTTTTCTAGGTATCGGAATTAATATTTCACTGTTAAAAGAAAAACAGAAAAGAAAAAGTTAAACCCTCGGAAGCTCATACTCACATAAGGACAATAAAAACGCATGTATAACAATAAATAAATACTTCATAGCTTGGGTAAAAGGATAAATCAAGCTTCAAAAGTAATGCAGTTATTGGACTAACAATAAAAAGGGATCACTGGAAAAACATATTACAGAAATGAGGCTAAATTAATGCGCATATAGGCTGAAGAACTAAGACAAATGTTACAAAATTCGCTCACCACATTCAAGTGAATCGAAGTCTTTCTTTATTACAAGTATAAAAAGCTGACAGGATTTGAGGGTGCTTTCATGTTTTTGTTAAAAGCAAATATTTATTTCATTCATTTGTATGTTGCATTTTAACGATGGATGCACGATAACTATGATTGCATTTCCCTTAGGTTTGTCAGCCAGCTAACTTTACACACAAAGATCACTTTAGCAGTATTTACAGTGTTCACGCACATCCGATACCTTACTTATAATGTACCAAGGGCAAACCATCAATGGATGCAAACAAGAGGATCGCCGTGTCAAATGACAAAGAAGAAAATGAAAGATATATGTAATTTGTTGTAAAGAAATTATACCTGTTTTTCAAAGCAATCTTCCTCATGCGTATCCTTGTCTTAGTCATCTTTGTTAATCGTTGTTTTATCTTATGAATAAGCAACTTCGGCCAATACATCTGTCAAAGACCAAAGACAGAAATTTTGGAATTTAGACAAACAAGAAAGTGCCACGCAACTGAAAAAACAACTGATCATATGGCGTTACCATATGTTTGTCAATGACTTCTAGGGCTTCATTATAATTTTGTGGTAGTTTAACTCTTTCCCACAATTTGTTTGGCATATGAGCCCTTTCTATCGTTTTCATGTATAAATAAAACACTCCTGCACAACCAAAGGGGTCATTTAATGGAAGTTTAGGCAGCTCTAAGACTCTTTTAGTACAACATGGCCCAATCCTTTTTCCTAGATTAATCACATTCCCAAATTCAGCGAAGCTTAACAGATTGTACCATTCTAAAACCCAACATTTGATCCTAGCAATGGAACATTGAGAGGACTAACGCATACATAAAAGTAGTCCATCGAAGTTCTGTCGATTACCAAGGTAATTAAACAAGATCGAAACTTGTAAAACTTTTAACCAAATATAGACCCATGAGAACGCGTATGAGCTTCCTAGAATAATGCTTTAGTAAAGCCATATATGTAGATGATTAGTTGATCACTAACTCATTCATTCGAGAGCTAAAACACACTGGCAAGAGTAGTTCATTCCAAAATAATCAAAGCCCATCACAGAACAACGATTGAATAATTGAAAATAAAATACTGTCTGTCTCATAAAAATAGTGCATCTTATAAATCAATTGTACATTATATTGTTTTTAGTACAATTACAACTTACAATGTGACTTATTTTTATAGGAAAGGAGAAATATCGAAGAGCTCGAGAATGGATTACCATTGTCTTCACGGATGGTGGCATAGCGACTATTAGCAAGAGGGCAAGAACTCCGATTACATATCCCCGTCACGTTATACGGGTTCCGACAAAAATTCTTTGTTTCAATTCTACATAATTAAATAAAAAAAAATCAAAACTGTATAAATTAAAATTGGGAATGCTGAAGAACGTAATTAACGTGCGGACTAATTCATCGATTATATATACATTGAGGAACCATATGGAGAGAAGAGGGAAAAAAAAAAAACGGGGGCTTTAATTACTTGGACATATAACTGCAGTGATTGTGTCTGATGACTTGCCATATAACCTCATCATGCTGCATTTTTTTCTTCGGTTTAGTTTGTTCTTCGGATGATGATTTTAGTAGTGTAGGTTTTTCAGCCGAGTAGAAAGAAATTAAGGGGACAAAGATTAGGGTTTAGGGTTTAAGGAATAGATGGAGGAGGGTTTTAGGGTTCTTTTTTCCCCACCTATAAATGTAATGCTCCTATATTACGTATTAAGACTTACGAGAGGAAGCAAAAGATCACTCTGAGTTAATATTTCCCTTTTTATGTGTTTATTACTCCTGAATATTAGGAGGAAGATTGATTAAAAAAAAAAATTGTAGCAATAAATTAACTTCTTTCATGACGAATACTGCCTCGGTCAGAACTTGGCACCAAAGGTTTTTTAATTTGCTGCCCAAAAAAAAAAATGAAAAACAAATTTGAGCCGAAAACGACATATTTACATCTCCGAATTTCTTTAGACCCAATTACAGTAATCCTTGTCTATATTTTGGCTGGCTTACATTTCTTCTTCTCCTCCTCCTTCTCTTCCGCTTGCTAATTAAAATTGGTAGACACTAGTTAGACTGTTTAGTAATCTCTTATACCAACTTTTTTGACAACTTTTTTCCTTTAAAATTTTGTATGTCTTTTTTTTTTTAGGAAAAAGGATTTTATTAAGATTATTGGAAATCGTTCAACTGCGATTGACAAAAAGGCGATGAATCATTCCACCTTTCAACCGTAGAACAATTGTTCTTTGCATAAAAAGCTAGCTCATGAATACCCGTATTCGATGTTCTACGACTCCAAAAGACTCCAAGGCAGGTCGAAGATGCCAATCTTCGACGTAAATTCTCTGTCACGTGTACACAGACATCAGGGCAAGGGAAATCCTCGTACAGAGCAAGGATTGAATTCACCGAATCCCCCCTGAATGGTAAACCTTTCGAGCTTTACCTCAATGGCCAGATCAAGAGCTTCTCTCAATGCTAGAATCTCAGCTACAAGAGGATCCTGAATTCCATACTTACGCCGAGCTTGAGCCTGCACAAAGACTCCGTTCTCCGCTGCACACCAAACGCCTAAGACTCCATTCTCCGTTGTATGTCTTGATATTCATTTCATTGTAATTCACTATGGTTGTAGTTATTTCATTTAACATCTTTATTTCTTCACTAATCCTATTTCTCTTTGTAGAATAACATTTTTATTTATACACTTTTTAAAATAGTAGATCCACCTTAATAATTAAAAAAAAATGAATCTTTAAATAAATGACTATAACACAAAAATAAATAAATAAAATGAATATAACACAAAAAAATTGAAAAAAATAATTAAAAAAATTCTGGTCAAGGGTAGTCGGCCCAAAACCGGCTATCCATGGAAGACCAACCACCCCGAAACCGACTATCAAAGGAGAGATAGTCAACTCGGAACCGGCTACCCCGGGAGAAGTAGCCCTACTTCCCGGGTAGCCGGTTCCGGGTCGGCTACCTCACTATTTCTCCCCGGGTAGCTGGTTCCGGTTCGGCTACCTCTTCTTGGGTAGCCGGTTCCGAATCAGCTATCTCTCCTTGGGTAGCCAATTTTGGGCCGGCTGGTCCTCCACTGGTAGCCGGTTTTGGTCCAGTTACCCCTGACCAGAATTTTTTTAAAATTTTTTTTTCGTTTTTTTTTGTTATATTCATTTCATTATTTATTATATTTTTTAATAATTAATTTATTTAAATGAGTAATACTAATCTTTATTGTTTATATTTTTAAAATTTAAATGAATAGTATTAATAATTGTTGTTTATGTAAATAAAATTTAATTTAGTGTTAATTATATCTTTGTGTTATTGTTGTTATTCTTGTTATATTCATTTTTATTGATTATATTTTTCAATAATTAGTTTGTTTAAATGAGTAGGATCAATAATTATATTTTTCAAGAAAGGAGAAGAATAGGAAGAAGAGAAGGAAGCAAGGACAATAGGAAGAAGAAGGGCAAAATTGTTCTATCGACTGTAAATGAGTATTTTTATAATTGTAAAAAGTAATTTACTAAATTAATTATCCCAATCATTGTCAATGGAAAAAAAAATGCTAACATGATTTACATTGAGACGTTGAATTATTAGGGCCTCCAAATTGCAAGATGGATGGGATACTCACACAAGCTATGATAGAACTTTTACTCAAAAAAAAAATATGATAGAACTTGATAGTGAAGCTGCACTATGTCTTTTGGAGCAACTCTCAGATGAAATTCTCGTTGGATTCTTACTAAGAAGAATTAGAAATTTGCTTGATTAGAACATCTCATGTTACTTGTGTTTTTAGAGATGCCAATACAACCTAGAATGTCTTAGCAAAATTAGGATTTTTGTATTGATTAGGGCTGCATTTCTCGTCAAACTCACCGGAGTAGCGCCTTGGGTTTATAAATTGTTTTATTACGTGATTTTTGTATCCATCGATTATCGACAAAATTATAAGCAATACTTTCTCATGGAGGACACTTTCTAAGCTTTGGTTGCTTATTTATACATTACAATTATTTTTTTTTTGGTTAAAAATGGTAATCCAACAACTCAATAAAAATGCTTTATATATATATTTAATTATACTCATCTATAATCCTTATAAAAGACTTGATAAGAACAAAAAACTTTTGAAATCATTTTCAAGCTCTACTTTTCTTTTTTATTCATTTTTATATTTATAGCAGAAACTGGTAGAAAAATATTTGCTGTTAAGCAATTTTGTTTTATATAAACATTTTTCCAAACAATATATAAAATCATACTTTATTTCTATTATTATTATTATTATTATTTTTTTATTTTATTTTTTTTGGTGTGCAAAATCATGCTTTATTCCTAAAGAACTTGTCCGAACGTCGCTCACGGTGGCGACTCCATTTCTCTTCATTCCTAAACCCTTAAACCCTACCCTTCAATGACGATTCTGATATCCCTCTCCCATTTCTGGACATTATAATCGCTAAATTATGAAATCCCTTTTTCTTTCCATCCCAAATTTAGACACTATAATCGCTAAATTATGAAATCCCTTTTTCTCCCCAGTTGTATTCTCCGCTCAATCTCTCCCGGAAGACGGCGGCGGCCCCACCACCTGTATCGGCGAACATTCTATGATTCTTCGGAGGTCAAATTGGCGGTCGAAAATGAGGTACTCGGCATTATTGAACACGAAGTTCCAATGGAGCCAGCTCTTGAAAAGGTAGCCCCATTTCTAACTTCTAAACTCGTGTCTTCTGTTCTTGAACAAAAAAGGGGAGATCTTGAACTTGGTTTCCGGTTTTTCATATGGGCCATTTCAAAGAGTCGTTTGCGGAGCTGGGGTTCTCGGAATTTAGTTGTTGATATGCTTGTTGGGTATAGCAACGATAGAAGTTCAAATCTTGAGAGGTTTGATCTATACTGGAAAATTCTGAATGATCTGAAGGAATGCGATAATTTTGTCAATTCGGATGCATTTACAGCTTTAATTTTGGCTTATTGGCAAATCAAGAAGGCTGAAATGGCCGTAGAAACGTTTGGTAAGATGAGAGAATTTAACTGTAAGCCGGATGTGCTTGCTTATAATGCGATATTGCATGTGGTTGTTAAGAAAGACGTCATTTTGCTGGGGATGGCTATTTATAATGTCATACTGAAGACAAATTGTCAGCCCAATTGCGCTACATTTAACATTTTAATTGATGGGTTATGCAAGGCTGGGAAGACTCAGGATGCGTTGAATTTGTTTGATGAGATGAGTGAGAGTGGAGTATTACCAAATAAGACCACCTACACGTTAATCTTATCAGGTTTGTGTCATACAAAGAGGACAGATGATGCCCATATACTCTTCAATGTAATGAAAGACAAAGGTTGTCTTCCAGATTCAGTAACTTATAATACTTTGCTCAATGGGTTTTGTAAGTTGGGTAGGGTTGATGAGGCATTTTCCCTTTTGAACTCCTTTAAGAAAGATGGTTTTCGAGGGACATTAAAGAGTTATAGCTGTTTGGTCGATGGTTTGGTTAGAGCAAATAGGATTGACGATGCTCATGAAATGTTCCAGAGGATCTCTGAGTCTGGTATGGCACCTGATCTTGTGTTGTATACAACTATGATGAAAGGGCTATCAAAAGCCGGCAGGGTAAATGATGCATTACATTTGCTGGCCGATATGACTGAGAGGGGTGTAGTCCCTGATACTCACTGTTATAATACCCTAATTAAAGGGCTCTGTGATGTGGGCCGCTTAGATCATGCCCGCTCCCTTAAGCTAGAGATTTCAAAGCAAGACCTCTTCCCTGACACTTGTACTTACACCATCTTGCTCTGTGGTATGTGCAGAAACGGCCTGATGGATGAAGCACGGAATATTTTTAATGAGATGGAGAAGCTCGGGTGCTCTCCTTCTGTTGTGACCTTTAATTCTCTTATTGACGGGCTTTGTAAGGCTGAAGAGCTCGAGGAAGCTCAACTTATGCTGTATAAGATGGAGATAGGTAGAAACCCTTCATTGTTCCTCCGTCTATCTCAAGGTACTGATCGGGTTCTTGATAGCAGTAGCCTACAAACAATGGTGGAGAAATTGTGTGAGTCCGGGTTGATATTAAAAGCTTACAAGCTTCTAATGCAGTTAGCTGATAGTGGAGTCGTACCAGATGTAGTAACATATAATGTCCTGATAAATGGTTTTTGTAAGGCTGGAAACATTAGTGGAGCTTTCAAGTTGCTTGAAGATCTTCAAGTGAGGGGACATTCTCCTGATAATATCACATATGGGACTATCATAGATGGGCTTCAAAGGGCAGGTTGTGCAGAGGATGCCTTTAAGCTCTTTGACCAGATGAGCATGAGTGGTTGTACCCCCAGCGCAGAGGTTTACAAGTCCCTGATGACTTGGTCTTGCAGAAATCAGAAGATACTTCTGGCTTTTGATCTTTGGTTGAAGTATTTGAAAAGCATTCATGGCGAGGCAGATGAAAGAATCAGAGTAGTTGAACATTATTTGAAGGAGGAAAAATTCGAAATGGCTGTTCAAGGGTTGCTTGAAATTGATCGTTTGTCACCAAGCTTTGACTCTGCGCCATATAATATTTGTCTCACTGGGCTGTGTCAGGCACAGAGAACACAGGAAGCTTTGAAGATATTTTGTCTTCTAGCAGACCTTGATGTTAATGTGTCTGGTCCTAGTTGTGTAATGTTGATTCAGAGGCTCTGTTGTGATGGAATTCTGGATCAAGCGGTTAACATATTTCTCTATACAATGGCAAAAGGTTTCCGATTAATGCCTCGAATTTGTAATAACTTGCTTACATGCTTGCTGCATTCTGAAGAGAAGGCAGAGAGTGCATTTTTCCTTCTACAAGAGATGCAGCATATGGGATACAATCTTGATTATTATCTTTATAGTAGTACAAAATCCCTTTTAAATGGTCTCCGGAATCAATAGGGAGATGTGGTTCATGGATAGATCTTTCTTTCTACAATTTAGTCAGAGTTGCTCTTTAGGCCTCTCTGGTCTGTCCTTCCATTTGGAGGGACTGTTATGCAAGGATTTGAAGGTGCCAGCTCCATTTCTCGGTCTGTTGGTAATGTTGGACTGGAGCACTAATAACAGCGGTCTAAGGTTCAAGATCCTTGGTTGTTTACATGGTTTGAAAGCGTTTTGTCTCCTCATTTGTTTGAAGTCCTTGACGAGAGAGGGAGAGTATTATGCTTGTGCTGGTACCATGCTGACTGCTTCGCCAATTGGTCGTTCCTGTAAGCATCTTGTTTTTGTGTATCGCTCATTTCAGCTAACTACTGTGTACAACGAATGCAGAAGCCTAAATAATCATTTCTTGTTTATCTTGTTGCAGGGATACATGAGGGGATTTTTGGGAGATGATCACAACCCCTTTCTGACCCTCTGAAGAAACCAATACTACTTACATCCAGCAGGATGCAAAGTAATATAATCATGAACTGGTGATATGCAGTGGGATTGTTTCTGTTGGACACATTCTGAGGAAGGACACGCCATCTTCTGAATTTAGAGGTATCACAAGTTTGTTGAATGATGAAAGAGAGTGTGAATTGGGAGAGTGAAATGAGATAGTGAATGGTGTGGTATGCATAAAAAAGTAAAAATAACCAATCATACTATCTATTATAGTAATATGATAAGGGGCTACTCGTGATTTTTTCATCCATTCCACGTCATTTAGTATCCAGTTCCACAGCCACTCTTCAGTTTCCTATCCATATTCTGAGTTTGTTGGTATACGCTTTTTGTACTAGTCCAGTTCTCGATATTTTGCTGAATTAATTGTCTTAATCATGTGCAATTCTTTTGTGCTCCAAGGTATGCATAGATGCACCAAGAGAAGCTGCTGTAGTCCATTATTTCCGAATGGCGTTTATTTGGCTGCCTAGAAGAAAGTTTTGATGATTAGCTGACACCTAGGGTTATGGTGTATCTCTTGACTGCTGCAGTTGCGCAGTTTCTTCCAATAATTTATATGATTCATTGCATACCGAGAGAGTGCTGATATAGAGAAAAAGTTCAAACTATACTGAATGGAATGTCTGGACTCTGGATGGTGTAACCTTATATAGCAAGTGATAAGTGTAATTTCAATGGTTAACTGAGAAAAAGTAAGAACACCATGTCTTTTGATTGGTTTAAAGCCAATACAAAATAGGAACCACTGAACTTAGCTCAAAGCATATACAAAATAGGAAACTTTAAACTTCGCTCAGTGACTACCGACTAGTAAATTGAGTTAGGAAACTAGGGTTCAATATCCACAACATCCCTTCATGTATGTTCTTGCTCTGATCATTTTTATAGTTATGTAGGCATTGTACATTATACTACATGAAATAGAATGGAAGGTTGTATATTGTACTGTAAAAAGAATGCAAGAATATGGTGTTGGAACTACGCCAGTCATGGATGGCATACTGTGAAATTGGCTTATCATTCTCCTGTGGCTTTGACAACCCCCTGCCTTTAATCAGATTTGATGTTTTTTTAATTGCTCTCCATTGTGAAACATATCTAATAACGATCCACTGTTGAAGTACCCATTCCAATGCCTTAAAGTGGTTGAGATATCTGGATTCTGTGTGGATCTAGTGAAATACTTCCTTGAAAATGCAGTTTCTCTGGAATAGATGATCATTGATCCGCATGCGTCATGATTTAACGATGCATAAAGGTGACTTTGGTACAACGATCCTGAGAGACATAACCTTCAGCACTTCGCTTGGATTATCTGTACATAGTCCCTACATGTCCGTGAAAACTTAGCTCATCACAGCTTGGTGTATACAGATGTCTGCACTTTCTACCTGTTTTGAAACTGTGATTACTCTGCTCAATGGAGAATTGCAGGCTTGTCCAGTCATGTGGCTATTTTTAGCATTCTGCTCTCTCCACTTTGTTTGCTGCTTTACTCTTGCATTCTAATGGAGAAATTGGCGGTGTGGTGGCTGTCATCTGCAATTTTGTGTCTTTAGCCGCAGTCAGAAGCTACAGAAACATTTATTGGCCGCCTCAACAGGTGATTGCTTCAGCCAGCTCCTTGCTTCGTGCTTTCGGGATCACAATGTGCAGTCTGGGATATCTGCTGCTCTGTGCTTGAAACCTTCTGCATTCTCATATTTCTGAGACTTTCTTGTTTAGGAGTTTTTTGGGTTTATAGGGTTTTACAGCACTTGCTTATGAGCAAGCTTTTTATTTTAACAAAAATCCGTGGCAATATGTTTGGATCATGGTCATTCTCTACCCCACTAATCTAATAAAGTTGCTCTTTTTTTCTCAAAATATGCAAGAATAGGGTAACATTTTACCTCTACCTAGGTAAGTATTGTTGGATATAAAATCAGGAGTCTAGTTTATCTTGTTTTTCTGCACAGATGCCTTCCAAAATGAAGGAAATTCCATTATGATGGCAATACAGGTGATCACCCCCTCTCAGTAACATATTTTGAATGAACTCCAAAGAAAAACAGAATAGCACTTGGACAAAATGAATCCATAGAATTTTGTCAGTCTAATCCATTTAAATATTTACAGTAACAGTATTGACAACAGTCCATGATCTAATGGATGGATTTACAAACTCTAACAAATAAGCTAATTTGGAAAGAAAACGAGGTATCCTAATAGCACCAGATGAAGTTTATCCAGCATCCAAGAAGATCCCTGTTTTACAGCAACTCCAGATCGTCTTCCTCAGATTCTTACCCAACTGTGACCACGTTGGTTGGAACAGGACGTGATTCATGTGTCCGGTTCAATGAGATTTTATTATCCCTTTTCCACTTCATTGATTCTGCAGATCAGACAGCTTTTAAATCAAACAATAAGAGGGGTAAAAAAGTTGATGAAATTATATGCTGGATTCGCATTTTCAGAACACATTAAAAGATATCCATTAACTTAGTGATTTCTCTTATCTCAACAGATGAAATGATGGGACCTAATGAGAACTGAAAATGTACATAGATGAATCATTCCCATTTTCAATGTCAACTTACCAATAGATTCTCTAATTGCGGCACCATATTCAGCTCCAGCGCTCTTCTGCGCAAAGAATAATATATCGTGGTACATTTTCATAGATGGTGGAATCCCTTCATCCTCCATCCAATGCAATACCTGCATAAGAACGTTGATCAATATGCTTTGTTGTTTTGACACAGAAGTAATCAAGCTGTATAATGAAAGGTGTCCCAAGTTAATCAATTATTACCAAACAGCGGATGGAATTGGATACTCTTCAAAAGGACAAAACCCATTCGAGTTTGGTAAGGGCAGATACAGAGCAATAAAATTATCAACATACACATGAAATGGTATGCAACATGACACCACAAAGCAAGAAGAAAAGTGGTGCGCCACCCCCACCCACCCACACCCCACCCAAAAAAAAGTAATGATAACTGCAGCAAGCTAAGAGAGCAGGAGAAGAAAGATTTCACAATACTTCATCTTTAAATTCTCTATTATCAACTAAAATATTTCATATACAATTAAACCATAAATAGTAGTTCCAAAATTTCCAACACTTGCAGTCCTTGGGAATTTTATCTGTTTCTTTTCTTTTAATACAGGGACTTTAGAGTAACCCTCTTTGCAAGTCAAACCAAAGTGAATGCTATGTCCATCTAAAACACACACACATGCAGGGATGCACATATCTAATTAAAAATGTAAAGGCCTTTTGCAATCTTACCTCCACGTACTTCCTCCAATTTCCCGCAGCCAAAAGATTGTCTAAAAGAATTGAATATGTTGACAAGTTTACTTCTACATTGAATGACACCATCTTGTAGAACAACTGTACATGATATGAAATAATAAGAAAATTGTCGTGCTTCAATCTCAGGGCACAATCTCAATGAAATGTTAAACAGCTGCTTTTTCACGGAAGCAAATTCTCTGCACTCATTCTGGACATCAATAATAAGACACAGATGCTTCATGTTACCTTGATCATTGTTTCAACCTTTCCACATTTTCCAACACACTGCAAAAGTTGATTAAGAGTTCCAACAGAGACAACAGCCAATGAACTCTCCATCATTTTGATTACTTCTGTGATTATTCTCCAATCCCGCAACCTTCATTCAAATACAAACAACTTTCAGAGAACTATTAAAGATTCAGAAAATGTTAACTCTCTCTAGCTAGCTAAGAGATAGCCAAGCCAGTAGTAACCATTTGAGCTTACTGAGAAGAGAGAAGTGTTATTTTCATTTCTACAATCCAGTAATCTATGATTTAAAGAACAGCTATCAAAAAAATTCCAAGTGATGCTAAAAGGCACTTCTTGAAATGCTCAAGACTAGCATAATCAAATACTACCTAAAATAACAAGATGTTGGTGGACAAGCACAAGCAAAATAACTTAGCATCGGGCCATGAAATTTGTTTGGAAGCATGAGACTCACATACTACATGCCGAAATTACTTCAAAAAGAACCGCATCTGTGAAGGGGATGTTCTTGTCTTTCATAAACTCTGCGGCAAGAAGAACTTTTTCTGGTTGGCACCCTCGGTTGAAAGCTCTCATGAGAGTTGAAAAAGCAACAGAATCTGGCTGAACACCATCCAATTCCATCTCTTGGAATATCTTAAAAGCATTCTCCCAATTATCTGTGTGAAAGTTCCATCAGCACCTTAATTGCACATTCAACCATAGCCAGAATGATATTAGCGACCAACAATGGACATACCTGCTACACTGTATGCGTGTAGCATAGCAGTATATGCAACAACATCAGGAAGAAAACCAGCAGTCTTCATCATGGAGAACATTGATTCTGCTCCAGCTAGTTGCCCCTGAGAAGGAAAAGAGAGAATAGGATTATATGTTATAAAGGTTACAATGCTAAGACAGAATAGTTTGCAGAACTCAATAATTTACACCTGCTTGCTGTAGGCACATATAGCAGATGAGTACACCTCCTGAGATAATGGTATCTTTAGATGCATCATTTCGTCAACAAAATCAAGTGCGTCAGAAAACTTAGACATCTTACATGAACCACTTATCAACACATTAAAGGTAACAGAATCAGGTTTGACTCTCTTTTTCCTCATCAACCTGTATAATGTTATTGCCTTCTCATACTCCCCTAAACTCATATAACTTCCAATAGCAGAATTATATGCAATTGTGTTCAATGCAATATGTCGTGACTCAGCAGCTGCCAATATTGATTCAATCCTCACTCTGTCACCAGATCGGGCGCAGGCTGCCAACAAAGTACTAATTGACACAACATTAGGTTGGACACCACTGTTCTCCATTTCATGCAGCACTTTAACAGCTTCAGCTAAATGGCCATTAGATCCATAGGCATCAATCAATGCATTATAGCTCACGAGATTCGGTCTGCAATTATTCTGTTTCATCATCTCCAATATCTCTCTGGCCTTCTCTGGCTGCTGTGATCTTCCGTAAGCATTAAGCAAAGAAGTATAAGAGACAACATCTGGACGGAGTCCCTTCTGTACCATTTCTTTAAAAATTGAGTAGGCTTCTGTGCACATCCCACAAGATGCATGTGCACCAAGTAATGCATTATATGAAACAACATTAGGCTTCAAACCCTCTGCAAGGATTGTACTAAACACAGCCTTGCAGTTTTCAACCTGGCCCAAAACTGAATACATATGCATGATGGTAGTAAATGTAACAATATCAGGAAGACATTCTGCTCTTTTGCCTCTCATTGAATTAAAAAATTCAAGAGCTTTCTCATAATGCCCAAGCTTTATTTGGCAATGCATAACAATATTCAGGGTGGTCGTATCAGGACGAATTCTAGTTCCTTTCATCAGTTCAAAGTAAGATAATGCTCTCGAGTATTCAGCACCATTCTTATATGCAGATAGCACAATATTGTGTGTCACCAAATCAGGCCCAACTCCATTTTCCGTCATACTCTTGCAAACCTTGAGAGCTTCTTTCCAGTTTCCAGCACATCCACAAGCATGTATCAAGTTGTTATAAGTTGACCTACTTGGTGGTATCTGCACATACATGTCATTTCAGTAGGCAAATCTTACAAATATGAAATTATGTGGTAACAATTCCAGTGCAAATACAGTAACACACATCCTTGCAGATAGCAATGTGGATTCACTTTCCAGTTATATTCAGTTAACAGCACAGGAAGTCACTTCATATACTCCCTCTGTCCCACAAAAATAGTCCACATTGAGTTTTGAGTTTTGTACGGTTTTTAGTATAAATTTGAAAACTCAATGTGGACTATTTTTTTGGGACGGAGGTAGTATCATTTAGCCAGTTTCCTTACTTTCACATTCAGTAGCACAAATCAATGCTTTTCTGTAATGCTGTGAACACCTAAGACCCCAGATCCCAACCTAGTTGGGAATAGTATGGGTATGTTGATATTGATAAGTTCTTCAGCAAATAACCACTGAAATTGTTTAATCATTTAAGATAGGATATTACAAGCATCTAGAGTGCTTCAAGAATTAGCATTAGTATCTTTCCTAGTTCACACAATCACCTTCTCTGACTCTGGTGATACAGTTATCTACCCGGCATCATTTATCATCAACTGGTAATCTAAAGAAAAGAGGAAATTTTCCAATATTGATTATGATGGTTTCATAAGCCCACATGAGAGACAAATTGAGCTTTACCAATTCAAATATATAAAAAAGTCATCATAGTATTCCTGCTCCTCTACTGCAGAATGCATCTTGAAGTAAATTTGAAATGTCTGATAGTGATCAGTGCTCTATATCATCCAACATTCATACATAATAACAATTTATCCTATTTGACAGTGACTGGATGAATGAGCGTGCAAGTAATATATGTTCCCAGCCTCAAAAACAAAATAACAAAAAGAAGGAAGCTCACATCAAAGTGTAAATGATTGACTAGGAAGGAGAAATACAAATACACACAGCTGCACGGAGCATGTCTTCCATTATATTCATGGCCCAACGCCACTGTCCGTTTCGGCCATGCACATTAATGAGAGCATTGTAAGTTTCAACATCTGGCTTGCACCTACATGTGAAAGATGAGTATGAGTATACTACGATACAAAAGCCTCTGATTTACAGATCCAATCAATTTTTTCAAATACAGATATAGGGCATACCTCCATTTTTGCATCTCAAAGAATAAACCACGTGCCTGATCCACCTGGTTATGCCTAGAGTGCAACCGAATCATCATATTGTAGATATCAGTTCGTGCACAGTAGTTCTTCTGATTTTTCATCCACGAGAATGCTAGGATGCTATGTTCTACTGACCCTTTTTGAGTTATTTCCTGCAGCAGAAAAAACATTCACTTGTAACATATCAGGGCATTGGCATAATTGAAGTTGACGACACCTTCAAGTTATATAACCTTGTCAAAATGGTTGAACACTAACTTTGCTACAGGTGGGAAACTAACAGCAGCTCCCTCACACTCAGTAACATTCTAAGCCAAAATGCAGAATACATTTATATTAAGACAGTTTGATCCTTCAACCCCAAAATCGTCTAAATAGTCTTAGTCTCTCTCATCATTTTTTTCGTCAGCTTTGCATAAATTAGTTTGAAACGCATTAGTTTTCCCAACCTTCAAATACGGCCTCAAATCCACAGCTCAACACAATAATAAAACATAAATGGCAATTCCATAACGGCACTAATTGGTATCTTTTTCTTCCGTTTCTTAACCTCAAACTACATAATTCTCAGTCACTTAAATTAAACTGACATTCGGAAAAAAAAAAAAAGTAGGAAGCTTGGAATTGTACCCTGATAAGAATAGGGAAATTCTTCCGGGCAAACCGGCCCGCCCATCGGTTCAAGACAACTTCAACATCATCGTGGCGGTTGAGCGCCATTATCTTCTCTACCACCTGGGAAATGGTCCAGTCCTTCTGGAACCGGTCCGTCTCGACCCGCATACGATTGCGTTTAGACAAGTCCGACTTGCGGAGGCCACTGACCCGAACAGAGACATGATGGGTCCCATTATCGTAGTCCACATGGGCTCTCCTTTCCTCCTTGAAAGCTTCTTCATTCTTGGCTTTCTTGCAGTGAATTACAAGGGTTCTGGAACGGGTTGTTCTTTCCCCGGGCTTTGAATTGGATTCGGGTTTATCCGGTGGGTTACGGAGCTTGAACTTGAAGCATAGTGGATGCTGTAAAGTTGCCATGGAAATGCAGAGCTAGTACTACTAAACTCTTATCAGCTCCTGAAGAAGACAATAAGAAATATCTGAAAAAGGAAAAAAAAAAAAACAGTTTTTAATTATTTACGACACAGTGGGCCAAGTATCAATCAATTTGGGTGATTGGGCTTGGTCCAGATATTTTTTCGGCCCATTCATGTCTTCTTCTTCCCTGCTAAAATTCCATCCAGGCGAATTGTTTTGCAATAGCTGGACTCTTCTTAGTAGGTAAATGTATCTTGCTGAGAAACAGCGGTCAGATATGAAGAAATTAAAGGCTTTTCTTTAGTTTTGGCTGGCATCACTGTGTTGTTCCTGTGGAATGTGAAGAATTATGATGAAATAGCAGCTGTTGAACATGTTGACTGCTTAGAGTTTTCTGTTTTAGATGATGTATTAGACGGTTTCCCATTTTAGCCTCTTGTATAGTATTACGTAGTTACTTAGGCAGGGATATACTTGTAAATATAGAATAGTCAAACATGTATATATATAGATTGTATAGTTAGTCAGATATGTATGCAAATATTCTTGCAGATCTAATCGATGCTATTTTTCCTTTTTCTTCACTGATTGAAACCCTAGCCATGGCTTCCGTCCTCCCTCTGTTTACCATCTTTTGATGGTATCAGAGCAGGAATAACACAATTTAAACCGATAGTTTTGCTCTCCTTGCTCTTCCGCTTCGATTGATCCGTCTGTTGTTGTCTTCTCCAGCGCTTATCGAATGGCGACTAATTCAAGCGTCGATCCGCTAATTCCAGTTCGCACAGGAGCAGCTGCACGCCGGAATGATGATTCTACTTCTAGCGGTAATATCTCTATCAATCCCGCTGAAGTGTATAACCTGAATGATGGGATAAATCCATCTCTTATGCTTGTTTCTGTTCAATTGAATGATTATAACTATCTGAGTTGGAGTCGATCTGTGCGTACTGCTTTAGAGTCAAAATTGAAGTTTGGATTTGTCGATGGTACCTTTGTTATGCCACCTATTGGTACAATTGAATATATGAAATGGAAACAAGTAGATAGTACTGTAAAGTCCTGGTTAAGTGCTGCTGTATCACCTGATATCATGGACGGTTTTTCGTATGCGTCCACTGCGAAACAACTTTGGGACGATTTAGCAGAAAGGTATGGTAATGCGAATGGTCCAATGCTGCTGCGTATAAGAGAGGAACTGATAGCCTTGAAACAAGGGGATCAGTTACTGATGAAGTATTATAGTGCTTTGAAGAAGCTTTGGGATCAATACGATCATTTTCGACCTTTGCCGGAGTGTCCGCCTGCTATAGCTCGAATATTGATTGAGAGAGATAATGAAGATAAATTGGTACAATTTGTGCTTGGGCTGAATGAGACTTTTCAAACTGTCAAGGATAATATCATGATGATGGAACCGCTTCCAACAATTAAGCAGGCTTATGCGATGGTTCTCCGGGTTGAGAAGCAGAAGAATCCTCAGTTTACTAATCCGTTGGTTGGCAATGCTGCTTATTCAGTCACTGCAACCAAGCCTCATACTGCTGTACCAGACATGAATACAGCTCTGTTGGGCAGAACACAGATGGGACGCACTAAGAAGACCGAGAATAGTCTCGAATATGCCAAGAGAAAGCTAGAGAAGGCTTCTTTGTTCTGTACACATTGTCAAAGGCCCGGGCATGATGTTAATGGATGCTTTAAGCTTAAAGGATACCCGGACTGGTGGCCGGGGAACAAAGACAAGAGTCAGAAAAGGGTTTATGCTCACCTTGCAGAAGCTGTTGAGACTCCAATTGATCATATGCAGCAAAGTGGTTTTTCAAGTTCAGACCTAGATGTCAATGCATTAATGTTGAAGTTCAACTCTTTGCAGCAGGATCTCAATCGAGCTATCAAAGGGAAAGCAGCTGCTGGTATGGATGCGCCTACACAGTTGGTCAACTTTGCACACTATGAAGAATTTGCAGGTAGCTCTTCTTTCCCATACCTTAATGAAGTTAAATCATATACATGTGGTTTTTGGATAGAAGATACAGGAGCCACGAATCATACATGTATGGACTCTAGATTACTAAATGATATTAAGCCTGTTAGTTCTATTACTCCAATAGCGTTACCAGATGGGAGTATAAAACTAGTTCACTCAACTGGTAATGTGAATCTTAGTTCTAGAGTTAGGCTATTTGATTCTCTATATGTGCCTAGCTTTAAATATAACCTGTTATCTGTAAGAAAATTAGCTAAGACTTCCAACATCTATTGTGGATTCTTAGCTGATTGTTCATTCTTACAGGACCTTACCACTAAAGAAATCATTGGGATTGGATGGATATACAAAGGACTCTACATTCTGAACCAAACCTCTTTTGAACCTCGTAATGTCAAGCATGTTTTAGATACTGTTTTGCCTAGGATTTTACTAAGAAATTTTCCTGATGTAAATCAAAATCTTTCAGCTGTAACCCTACTAGATCAAGATAATAGTGATTCGGCTGTAAACAGTCAATGGCATTATCGATTAGGCCACCCCTCATGTACTGTGATGAGACATATAAATAAAATTCCTTCTCTTGATTCCTCTGATGTTTCTGGTTGTGAAGTCTGCCCTCTGGCAAAACAACAAAGACATTCTTTTCCTCTAAGCTCTATTCGTACTACCAAATGCTTTGAGTTAATTCATGCTGACCTCTGGGGACCTTATAGCCATCCCACTATAGTTAATACACGTTATTTCTTAACCATTGTAGATGATTTCAGTAGGGGAACATGGACCTTTCTCCTTAGATATAAAACTGAAGTCACTACGATCCTCCGCAATTTCTTCCTGATAGTCCAAAACCAATTCTCTTCAACAGTCAAAGTAATTCGTTCCAATAATGGAACAGAATTTCTTAACAATGACTGTTCAGTCCTGTTCTCGTCTTTTGGCATCTCTCATCAAAAATCTTGTGCTTACACTCCACAACAAAATGGAGTTGTGGAGCGTAAACACAAACATTTACTGCAAATTGCCCGAGCCCTTATGTTCCAGTCATCCTTACCAAAATATTTTTGGGGTCATGCCATTTTGACTGCTACATATCTTATCAATCGCCTTCCCAGCCCCTTACTAAACTGGAAATCTCCATATACCATTCTTCATTCTACTCACCCTGATATTTCTCACCTTCGGATTTTTGGGTGCTTATGCTACATTACAAATACTCAGCCCCACAAAGACAAGTTTGCTCCTCGGGCTTTTAAAGGGGTTTTTGTTGGGTATCCTGAGGGTCAAAAAGGGTAAAAAGTTTACGTTCTTGAAGATAAGAGGATATGTGTATCTTGGGACGTTACATTTCATGAAACCTGTTTTCCTTATAAAACTTCATCTTCACAGCCTTCTGTTATCCCTCTGCCTGTAGTTCCAGTTTCTAATCAGGAACAGGCAACCTCGCAATTCCCTTTTCTGAATGCTGATCCACCTTCTCCTTCTCCTCCTGATCAAACTTCTCCTTCTCATACTGATCAGTCTTCTCCTGGTATCTCTTCCACCTTACCAGAAACCCTCACCCCTGATACAATACCTGTTATCACTCCTTCTTTGTCATCACCTCGACCCATATTGCGCCAGAGCGCTAGACCTAAATCTAAACCTGTCTGGCTGAATGATTATGCTCACCATGTAACTCATATCAATCCCAGTACAATGATTTCTTCCACTAATAAATTTCAGCTACCACCTACATTTCCATATATTCAACAGCCTTTTCTTTGTTCATCATATGTAGATTTCCTGGCTAATGTATCTAAAATCCCAGAACCTTGTACTTATGATCAAGCTAAAAATAAGGTTGAATGGGAAGAAGCTATGAATAGGGAAATTTCTGCCTTAGAAAATAATCAGACTTGGGATCTGGTCGCGTTACCCAAGGGAAAGAAACCCATAGGCTGTAAATGGGTATATAAAATCAAATACCATCCGGATGGCACTGTGGATAAATACAAGGCAAGATTAGTGGCAAAGGGGTACAATCAGGTGGAAGGTGAGGACTATTTTGAATCTTTTTCTCCAGTAGCAAAGTTAGTCACTGTCCGAATAGTTCTTGCCCTAGCAGCAGCACGTAATTGGCCTCTCCACCAACTAGACATTAACAACGCCTTTCTACACGGGTATTTAGATGAGACCGTGTATATGAGACCTCCCCCTGGATATTCTAAGGCTCTTCCTACCCAAGTTTGCAAACTCAAGCGATCACTCTATGGCTTAAAACAGGCTTCTCGTCAGTGGAACCTTGAATTCACTCAAAGGCTGGAATCTTTTGGGTTTACACAATCTGGTCATGACCACTGCCTGTTCTTTAAGTCCGTTCAGAATGATTTTTTGATTCTCTTAGTATACGTTGACGATGTACTTTTGACTGGTTCTTCTGAGTCTCTTATATGTGATACTAAGCGCTTTCTTGATACTACTTTCACCATCAAAGATTTACAGCATGCTAAGTATTTCCTGGGTGTCGAAATTGCTCGTTCTGATGCTGGTATTTCCCTGAATCAACGCAAATATATTCTAGATTTGTTACAGAGTGTCGGTCTTCTTGGCAGTAAATCTGTGTCCACTCCTTTGCCAAAGGGACTAGTTTTAGATGATGATACTAGTCCTGTACTCGCTGATCCTAGTACCTATCGTCGTCTTGTTGGCCGGTTGTTGTATTTAGGGTTTACGAGACCAGATATAACCTATGCCACTCAGCAACTAAGCCAGTACCTTCAACAGCCTCGGGAAGTTCATTGGGCTGCTGGATTACATGTTCTTCGCTACCTCAAAGGTTGCCCTTCTTTAGGGCTGTTTTACAGCAGTACCAGTGCTCTCCAGCTTCAGTCCTTTTGTGACGCCGACTGGGGAAATTGCACTGTTACTCGTTTTTCCCTGACTGGGTATTGTATTTTCCTTGGATCCTCTCTCATTTCCTGGAAAACTAAAAAGCAGTCCACTACTTCTAAATCCTCCTGTGAAGCCGAATACCGCAGTATGGGGGCCACTGTTTGCGAACTCCTCTGGATTTCGTACATTCTGAAGGATTTACAGGTACCCCTGTCTCTTCCTATCCCTTTTGCATGTGATAACAAGTCAGCTTTGTATATTACAGCTAATCGGTGTTTCACGAGCGTATGAAACACATCGAGATTGACTGCCACATTGTTAGGAATCAGTATAAAACAGGTTTTATTGATCCTTACCATCTTTCTTCTTCTGCGCAACCTGCTGATTTATTTACGAAAACAATTCCTGCTGCTCACTTTCAAGTGTTGCTGTCCAAGCTTGGACTTTGTGATATTCATACTGCCAAGCTTGAGGGGGGAATGAAGAATTATGATGAAATAGCAGCTGTTGAACATGTTGACTGCTTAGAGTTTTCTGTTTTAGATGATGTATTAGACGGTTTCCCATTTTAGCCTCTTGTATAGTGTTACGTAGTTACTTAGGCAGGGATATACTTGTAAATATAGAATAGTCAAACATGTATATATATAGATTGTATAGTTAGTCAGATATGTATGCAAATATTCTTGCAGATCTAATCGATGCTATTTTTCCTTTTTCTTCACTGATTGAAACCCTAGCCATGGCTTCCGTCCTCCCTCTGTTTACCATCTTTTGAGAATGTTTAGAAGGTAGATGACCAGAAGTTAGTTTCTTCAAGCTGGGAACTTGTTGCTGAGATACCCTACCGCTGTGAAAGTCCTCCTTCAATGTGGATATGTCAATAATTCATGCTTCACAAGCTTATGGATATTCGTAATGGATATTCGCAAGATTTTGTATCTAATGTACTTCAATCCAAGTCTTCTTGATGGTTCTCCATAGTAATTCTCTGATGGCCAATCTAACCCAAGAGGGATGATCTGAACGAAGATCGAATCGGGTTTCATGAACAGGAAATTCGTCATTGCAGCACCATGAACTCCGATCATAACATCACTTGAGTTCAGAACTCTGTACATTTTTGCCAGTTCTGTTGTCTTCTCAGGCCTCAGAACTGTCACAGAGAATCCGATTTCCTCTGCCATTTTCACCAATGCATTCTCATTTGTTATTTCCCTTGACCCTTTCCTTGAGATTATAGCCAGACTTGGCTTTGATTTCTTCAACATCAATTTCCCTTCTTTCTCTTCAGCCCGCATTAGGCCTCTGATTCGCGGCCAATACGCCCGGTCTAGAACATTGCGAAAATCGACCATTGTCTTGTTATCTTCCATCAGGGAAGGGAAGGATCAATGGCGAGTTCGTCGTGGATTTTCAGTCCAACTATAGCTTCAGGGAAGCAATGAGTCCTTTTATCGGCGCCGAAATCGATAACCGGATAATCCGAAAGCCGTGACAGGACATCACCATATTCTGTCAACCACCATTCATGATAATCAAGAATCACAAACACAACTTTCCTGTTGAAATGCTGAGAAGTGATGTACAATGGCAAAATCCCATCATTTATATCATGATAAACATTGCCCGTGTATCCTCCAGTTGAGAAGAAAACAGCAGGAACTTCATGATTCACATCACATTTGTGGTGTTGATTTTTAGTATTACTAGTTGAATTTCCCTTCTTCACAATGAGGTCCAATTCGGAAACCTTTTCCATCATCATGTTGGTCTCCCATTTTCTAGTGTATGGTCTGATCTTTTCATGGTGCAATATCTCATTTCCATGGCCATCGTCAGATATAGAAGGAACATAATCACTGAATTCAGTATTTGTGTACAGAAAGATTGATGATGAACCCGAATCAGTTCGAATATCGCCTTTTAATTTACACACATCAGAACGAATGCTACTTCTGTCACAGCAGAGCGTTCCTGCATTGATTTGGCCAAAACCCATGTCAAAAATCAATTAAAAAAAAAAACAATCAGGTTTTTTCTGTAAGAATTCTGATCTTAAATTAGGCAAAACAAGGAGAATTAGAAAAGGGAAACAGAACAGTGTTATGAATAAAAGCAGAGCATGGATGAAACAGAGTATTTGAGAAAGAACTTTTAACTCTGAATATGATCAAGATTGAAAAACATCAAACACAAAAGAAAGAATCAGTGTCAAACCCACCATTAGCAACAGAAGAACAGATGGGAGAATTCAACGCGTCGGCTTCAGAAACAAGTCTTGGATCATCATCTTCAAGCTGCCATATGTCTGAAACATTCATGCCATTAATCAAGAATTAAAACCACCATCAAACAGAATAAATTAATCAAAGAAAAAATTAATTATGTGATCTTTTCTCCAACAGAGATGAACCCAGAATTTCTTTACTTAATGCCATCCCACTGTTCTTTGTTTTTTTTTTTAACTCCAAAAAAATTGATTAGCAATTAAAGAAACTTATCTGGGTTTTGTTGAAAAAGGTAATTCCAGCGTGATAAATGGAAGTGTAAGAATTTGGAGTTTTTGAGTTGTCTTCAGCCTGGGTGGGCTAATAGTGAGTGGGATTTTGTATTTATACAGGAAGAAAAGGAGGAAGGTTGATGATGACTGAAGAATGAATTAAAGAGTACACCGTCCGGGCGTCCACACGTTTTCAATGTTAAAATATGTGAAGTGCCAAAGGAGTAGAGTAACCACGCACGATTCTAATGAGTTCTATAGAAAAAGAATTAGTTCAAGTTTGGTGTGATAAGGTTTATGGTCTGATTAATCCTCTCGATAGTTGGGCTTTTGATCAATCTGGAGAGTTTCAATGGTATTAGCATGAACAAGTGATGCATGCTTGATGTTGGATAGAATGACTTCCCATTTGTTGCTAGTTTTGGATCTTGAACTGTTGTTTTTGAATAGTTTGCTCCCCATCTTGACAGTTTCGCTACATCGCATGTCTTGACAATTGCGGCTGGAATTATGGATCAGTTGGAAGAAAAAATGGCAACAACTCGCACTGACGCTTATAAATTAGAGAAATTATTCAGTGCAGTTGTTGTACCACGTATAATTGTGCAATTATTCAGTGCAGCTGTTGTATCACGTAGAATTGTGCAGCCAGATACAATAGGGGTAAAATAGTAATTTTTGGGAGAGAGATAATTTCTACGGGAATTATATCACCAAAATAAGGAGTGCTAATACTTGCTGCACTAAAAACTAGGATACAGCAGCTGTACCTAATAATTTTTCTATAAATTGAACCCCCTCTCCTCCCAAAAAAAAAAACAAACGTGGCAGAATGGAGAAAACAAGTGGAGTTCCGTTAATTTCTTTTTTCCACCGTGGAAATTAAATGTCTGACATGGCCAGGCAGAGATCATTAAATTTCGTTTTAGGTTGTTTTGGGAGATAGTTTGACAGAAAAGGTTACTTAAAAAAAAAAAAAAAAAACTCCTTTCTATTGATCATCTTATCTTCCCCGGTGAGTCAGAGGCGCTGACTCATCGTTAGTCGTCTCATTCTTCATCTTCATCATTCCTTCATAAACAAAAACCTCACCAACATCATCTTTTTTTAATCTGACTTAAACACAAGGAGTGGCGCTAGCGGTGGGTTCGCCAATATTTTGGATTTCTAGTAGGTTGGTTGCGCCTTTTAGATTCCGAGGATTATGGCTTTGATGGGGGGCCATGGTTTCTGCAGTTTAGGGTTTGTTTTTGTTGTATAGATGAATTGTTGTGATGCTTTTAGGATTAGTTCATGACGGTTCAAATATGATACGGTATTTGGTGTATTTTACTACTAATTTGAACAAATTTTGGCTGAATCTATTCCGCCCAATTGGGCTATTGGTTATAATTTTCATAGATTTTTTATATGATACCAATCTTTGCTTTTCAGAAATTTCTTTAATTATTAAAATTAATATAAAACTAATTGCAAGCCATTTTTTCAACAATTGAGATTACTATAGTAAGGATTTACAGTTAGCCATTTTTTTGACTGGGGTTTTGCTAAAGGTTGGCTGCAATGGTGGCTGAACCCCATAAATTTGAGCTACGATCATCTATTGATGTTGCCAACTTAATTTACTTTAATTTAGTTTAATATCTGCTAGGGTGAAGAATGTAGAATAGAGAGACTTTTAAGGGGAAAAAAATGAATATAGAGAAAAGAAAGATGAACCCGAACAATTACTCTCCAATCCATTAATAATAGGAGAACCATGAGAGATGAAAATAAAGAAGAATGAAGAGGGAAAAATGGAGAGTTATCTTTTTATTTATACTCCATCCGTCCCATAATTATTGTCCACTTTGCCCAAAAAATTTTGTCCCAAAATTATTGTCCAATTTGACTTTTTATGGATCAAGTTATACATTTGTCCTTAGTAAAAAACATTATCCATAAAATCTTAGTGGTTAAACAATTACTTATGTAGGGGTATATCCGGTTGTTTAAGGTAAAATATAGTTAAGTTTGACCAAAAATAAAATTTTTCATTTTAGTAAAACTGGACAATAATTATGGGACGGAGGGAGTATAATTCTAGAATATTATACTAAGAGAGAAATTAGAAAGAGGTTTCAAAAAGAGTTTTTACGTTGTCACGTAGGAAAAAAAATCCTATATGGCATTTTTATATAAAATCTCTCAAAAAAAGTTTATGCAATTACACAACAAGTTCTTGGAAATTTATGAAAATAAATATTATCACACCTTTTTTTTTTTTGAAATCCACCCTAGTGGACCCCACATAAATGTGGGTAAAACTCCCCCTTACAACTCCTGATGAGAATCGAACCCTGGTCTATTACCAGAAAGGATAGGTTACCACTAAGCTATTATTTAATTCCCAAATGTTATCACACCTAAATTTATTGTAATGGACGGTAAATTGAATAGGTATAATTTTTTAAAAAAAATCATGAACAATTAAAATTGATTATAACCAATCAATCATCATTAATCGATATTTAATGTCGGGAAGTGAATGGGGTCAAATTTAAACAATATGGGATGATATGTCACAATTTCCGAAAGTAGTTAATTCTCATAAAAAAGCATAATCCCTAAATAAGAATAGGAAATAAGAAGCATTGATTAATTTCTTCGGGTTTATACGTCATAAATTATGGTTAATATAGAAAGTATATTCAAATAAATGGAAAATGATTTGATGTCCTTTATCACGCGAAATTATTGGCCCAATTTTAATTTTATTTATTTTTTTGTCCCAAAGTCCAAAAAAAAAAAAAAGAAATCGGAAATAAATGACATTGATGAATTCAAATTAAGTAGAAGATTATGTATTCTTTGTTTTTTGCTGTGATTATTATAATAGGAAATGGTAATTATCATAATTGTCCGGGATTATTTCATATGATTTCCGAATGAATTACGTCACTAATTAGTCATCATAATAAAAACATATTACCTGGATCAATGTTCACACAATATAAATGTTTACCTTACCCCATTTACCGGACGCACAACATTGTTGAACTGCATAGACACAATCATCCGCTCTACAAACAACTTCCTCAACCCATATAGGATCTATGTCGGCCTTCCGCACCGACCACACTGTCGATTTCATTAAAGACTTGACACCAATGGTCGTCAAATCTGATCGAAAGGTTAATGTATGAATACTAGGGTCTTGTATGCATGATGGTTTGTTTTATTTTTTTGTTTGAGTTTGAAATGTGATTTAAAATATCTTTGAAGAATAGGTTAAACTCATCTGTTGAGGTTTGCTTATTGATGAACAGGTTAAATGATACAATTTAGTTTGTATTCATGCAACGAAATTAATTGTTTTTTGTTAAACCAATTTAGATGAATATCACATATTTAGTAGCTCTATTAATTGCAACTCGTGGTGTTGTTGTTTGTATCCACTGTCAGGGACAAAAAATACAAGATTCTGTCCACAAAAAACTCATGTGAAAATTTCAAAGGCTTCTTGAAGATGGAGAAGAGAGACCAAACAAATCACCAACTTTGATCTGGCGGAATACACATGAAATTACAAGTAAGGTATATCTTTCTGATTATTTACAAGGAGGTATTTAAGAAATAACGGCCTCCCTCCGATTATTTCCAAATCCGATGATGTTGTATTTGACAAGTAAGATATATCTTTCTGAAATTGTTATACAATCTTAATTATGTAATGAATTTAATTCTTTGTTTTTTATTAGATTTTGACAGTTATGCAGAAAATAAGGTTATGTTTTGGGGGGATTCATACCGAAGAGGATGACTTGAATCAATAAGAGGCGAGAAAAGGACAAAAAAAGAAGAGCAAAAATTAAAAATGGTGAATAGATGGAATTCAATTCAAGATGGTATAATCTGAGGTTATAGATGCAAAATCACTAACTCATCTTTGATATTATTACTCTATAGATTACTTTTTTTCCCGGATATATTATTGTTTCACATATTTTTAAGTTTAATTAGATAATTTATTTATCAAAACCTGAAATTATTCAAAATTTTGTGATAAAATTTTAAGTTTTGTTAGATGTATAGGTGTTGAATGTATATTGTTTTTAGTTGATAAAAGGATTTGTTAGCTATGATGAGTTTTCATCAAATTAAATTTGAGATATTATTCACGAATTGATGAATTTTGTCTCTATTTCAGGAAAATGGAAGATCAAAGAGGACAATGCTCTGATGATCACCAAAAAAATTTACCACCTGCCTTATATATTGATTTTGTATGATCTTTGTCATGTTTAGGTGGTTGTTTTGAGATGTAAGCTTTTGTAGTCCCATTAGTATTGGATGATGAGTTAAGTACAAAGGAATTACTACTATATTCTAATCCCCTATTAATGTTATGTTAGGCATATTTTTTTAAAGATTATTTTGTTAATTACAACATATCAAAAACATATCACGGGTTTCTCTAAATAAGATTTATTTTGTTATTTTTAATATAATTTGAAATAAAAAATTAAATGAATTGTCAACTCTGGCGTTTCCGGACACATTCTAAAAACTTTTTTTTCTAGTATTAAAGGGAAAATTGTAATCATTTATTTGCCTTCAAATTACATAAGAATACGATTACTTAAAGGTTATAAATCTAATTCCAAGTTCATAATGGGATTTTTTTTAATAAGAAAAATTTGCAGTACTATAGAAAATCGAAAGACAAATTTTCAGTTCATGTGGTTATTATCTGGTTATGCAGATACGTATGGTTTCAAAGATAAACAATGATAAACTTAAAAGGTCAATATCATGGGGGAAAAAATATTTTTATTCTTT